GGGGGGTTACACCTGAGATGAAAAAAATAATTCAACATCCTCAGTCTAATGAGTGCTAATTATTGGAATGAAACGGTGCACATGACGAGATTAATAAGTAATAATGTATATCATGAGCTCTCATGTTTTCAATGCAATGTTAAAATCGTGTTCATAGGGGGGGGGGGAAATCAGTTGAAAATGTTCGGAGTGCTAACGAAATCCATCCAAAGACAGAATTTTTTCATCACAATGTTGTTAAAAAAAACTAATGTAAACCGTGCGCCGTTTTACTCTAATTATTTTTACCCCGTGGGTTATTATGACAATGTAATTATGCCGATGATAAGGGGGGAGAGGGAATAAATGATAGCCCGTTATAAATATAAAAGATAAATTCAAAAATAATAATTTTAAATAAAAGATACTAGGTTCGAGGCTCTTTTTTCCTTCATGGGAGCTTTCTAGGAATGACGAGTATGTATGGAACGTCAGGATTACTGACTAATCGGAGGGTGGGTAATAGCTAATGGGGGGGAGCTTAGACGTAATAAATAGGAGATTAGAAATTGAAAATGAAGAGAAAAAAAAATAAACAAAAAAAATGGTATATAGAACGCTTGAAACGTATATTAATATTATAACTTTTTATAAATATATTTTTCCGTCGAAGTCTAGCCTAAGTAGAGGGACATACACAGTTACGAATGATTAATTTATCTAATCTGAGGTATTATATGGATGAATAAAACCACGAGGAACGATGATTATAGTATTAATTCATCACTATAGGTATCAATTAGGTTTACAAATTAGGGGGCAGGTTGTACGAAAAAAAATAAATAAATAAAAGAACTGTGAGTCATTTTTTGAAGAGAAAAAAAAAGTACGTGGGGAGGATTAAAAAGGAATTTAGTACCTAAAGTTAGAGATAAATAATGTAGAGTTCGATGATGAGAACGTGAGAGTTGTGAAATGAAGTGGGAAAGTTTTCTTGCAATAATTATTACAAATAAAATCAATTTCGACCATTTGATGGAGAGATGTATCTCGCCAACGAGCTAATGTACTCATTCCGGATTAACGGTGAATGAAAAATGTGAAGTTGACGTGACGTTCGATTGAATTGCAATAGAACTTTCTTCTGTGGAGTTGTAATTAACCATCATTTTTACGGAGAAACAATTATTCATTTGCCTGCTGACGAAAAATTAATAAATCTGTCTGGCTAAATTCAAATCGCTTTCGTTTTTCAATATAAAAATTAGAGATTTAATATAATTGCTATTCGAATGATGATTGATTATGGATGAACGACGGTTCATGAGGATTATTGTAAAAAAAAATCATTAACGATACGCGACACAATTTTTTAACAAAATAATGAAAAAAAAATGATAAACAATTTATAAAAAAAATTAATTATACTACATTTATCAACGATAAGGTGACGAAAATGTAACATGTATTTTGCTTCTTCCTAATACAGTGCCGTTCTATGCATATTTTTTACAGTAAAACGTACTTTAGACATTGGGACTGAGAAAACATATTGTCCGAGCGCGTGTTATAATGTTGGAGAATCAGCCACGTGTTAGCTATAGTGTAATGAATTTCGAGTGGGTCTCTGGGGTGTTATATCATTCCGAAATTACGAGTAACAAGAATAAATAGAAACAGTTTGAAACACTGAACTTTGTTAGTTTTATTTCAACGAGATGCAATAGTCGTGTGATTTTTAGACATTTTTTTCTGACAATTTGGATGAGTTTCTATTGATTTTCTTTTTTGTTGAGAAAATTATCCGTGCAATCATGTCAAATGCAATGAAAAAGTGCGATTTCGATGATAATACCAGAGTGGCCACTTGAAGCCTTGACTTAAATGTAATGTCTCTAACTTTGTTACGACGACTTTTCGCATTTAAAAACGCGTTTTTGAATTTGGAATAAAATGAGAAAAAAAATGAAATTGAGAAAATTTGATTCTTTATCGATATTCAATTAATCTCGATAGAGAATAATGAGGGGGAAAAAAATTTTAAGGATGAGAAAATTAATAAAATAATCCATTAATGGAGGTATCTTATTGCCGCTAAGTATATTATATAATGAACATGGAAAAAATTATATTATACAATAATATCTTATAACATGAGGTAAAAAAACAGAATAAAAAATGCGCAAGATAAAGTAAAAAAAACGTAGTTGGCTGTAGACTGAGGTAGAAGACTTGGCACGTCTATTATTAATTTTAAAAAAAGTTGAAGAAAAAAAAAATTTAAAAAGTACATTAAAAATATCATAACGCGAAAAAAGGTACAGTAGTGATTCACTATGGCTAATGTAGAGTGAATGCAAAATACAGGAAGCATGCTGGTGGAGCATAGTGGGGTCTGGATGCATTAAAATTGTATATCTGAAGATTTAAAAAAAAACACCAATTGTTTATTTTTTCTCACCCAAAGTCCATTCTTCTCTATCATCACTGCATATTTCCTTATTTTTGAAATTTCAAGTGATGAAAATACTCACTCATTTTCAATTACACGTGTACATACTAGTCGTCTCGGTAAAAATAAAATTCCACTGTTGAGATATTTATGAATATTCCTGAGTAATTCTGGTAGATGAATAATCTACGTTCCCACAGTGAAAAATAATGACACAACTCCAGCAGCAATCGAACTATGGGATGAATGGTGTCAAGTGCGCGCGTCAATTCAGAGGGGGTAAAACTAATTTTTAGAAATGCCAAAAAAAAACATGCGGCACGGTACACGAGATTAGGATTTTTTTCCATCTGGACGAGTGCATGAAACTGGAGGAGGAAATTTGAGTGGAAGTGAACGGGGGTGAGTAAGCGGATGGAGATGTGTTGGAATGCGCAGTCAGTGGCGAGTGATTGATGATGGATGAGTGAAAGTCGATGATTCAATTTAAATATCCGACGGACTGCTGTTCATAGTGCCCTGTTATAGTGGGTTTCGGGCAGAGATTTGGCAGAGAAATAGATCGTTTTATTCGTAGAATTGATTATATCGTTAGGAGAGCTTATCGATACGAGTGGGGAAAAATTTCGTTGAAAAACATGGAATTCTATTGGATTTCTATTGAATTTGTTTTTAGTTTTTGGACGATTCGATAGAGAAATTCTATAGAAAAAATCAATAGAATTTTTCTATACTATTTATTCTATTGAGATATTTTCTATAGAAATTCCTCTGCTCAAATTGTTCAATTTTCTCAAATTTCCTCAATGAAATGAAAAGAAAAAAATTAATGAAAAATCTTAAAAAATTGATGTTGAGGAATTCCTATCGAAAAATTTGTACAGAAAAATGAAATTCTACTCATGTTTTCTATAAAATATAATCGGCGTAAACAAATAGACTTTTCAATAAAAATCCAATACAGTTTACTACGTTTTTCCGTGAAATTTTTTTCGCGCCTGTAATTTTCACAATCTCATCGCTTATTTTTCACACTCAGTTGATACTTCTCAGCCCTCTGCCTACGAAATCCTGATCTATTTTTCAGAAAATACGCTATTGTGATTATTATTACATGAATAATACATTAAATGAGGAGAGAATAAAGTAGTGAGTAAATGATTGAAAAGTAATTCCGCCGAAGTATGAGAAAAACTCGAGGGAATAATCTGTAGGCATTGTTCATCTATTATTGAAACAATTTTTTTATTTAATAATGTTAATAGCCTGTACTAGCAGTAATCCGCATTATTATCTTTAGTACTATTTAGAGAGTGAGGCTGCAACTGTATTAATGAATTAAGTACAACATATACCATTAATTCCCTACACTTTATATACGAATAATATTACCTAAACAATTAATGAACAAAGAAAACAAAACTTGCTCCCATCGAATCGCATTTATTTACCCCATGACATTCATCCAAACTCGCATTATTCATTATCTATCTAGGCGTAATGAACTCGATAGCAAAAAGGAAAAAAAAACAAGTCGAATCATCAATCGTAAATGAATTGCCTCTCGTCTCGATTCAATTCGGGACCGCGCTAACTCATCCAGCGTGTTTCCGTACCATTTATTTTTAAACAAAAATAAAAAAAATGAAAAAATACCATTTTACATTTTGAACAATTGCGTTATTTTATAAAATCGATATAGATTATAGATTGTACCATGATATAAGTCAAAATAAATTTGATTAGGTAATAAAATAATTGAAAAAAAAAACAACACTCTCATTTTTTTAAAGTAAATACTACGAGTCATTCTCATAATTAGCATTATTAATTGAGGATTAATTAGTTATATTTTAAAGTTCGATGTATCCACGCATGCGCAATGGAGAACTGACCTTGCGCATGCGTAGAGTCTGTTTGCGGGTCGATAATGTAGCCACGCGTCGCAGTACTGTGAATATGCCCAAACACAATTGAACGACAACTTTAATCTGTTGACGCAGAATAATACGAAATTTAAATGTTCAAAAACACGAAAAAAATATATAAAATGTGGAATATAAAATACAGCATCAAGTTTGGAAATATTCTGCATTGAGCTGTCGGAAGAATATCGGGTGGAAAGGCCTAGAGGAGAGGGGAGATTCAGGCCCGAGCGATCGGCGCGCGCGCAGCCTCGGGGCCTATATAAGGGGGAGCGGAGCGGAATTTCCTCATTCTGCATCGAGCAGCCGTCGGAGCAACATCGAGAGGAGCGAAGTGGTTTCCCACATAATAAATAGAACAAGAAATGCTTGAGGCAGCCGGAGGGTAACCAATCACCAAAGAAAAATGCTGATTCATGGATACGTCCCCGTAATTGAGTAAGTTTTTTTTGACAATGTAAATATATTCATGAAAATGAACGGAACGGGGTTTTTTATCGTCGCAGCTTTCTATTTTATTTTGACGTGGGTACGTCTACGGTTTCAAAATGGGGGGCCATTTTGGAAAACGGTCCTTATGTGCAGCGCCATCTATCGGAATGTCTAGAAAGTTCTAGACATTTTGAGGTTATTCGAGAAGTTTCTTGAAATTTTGAAAAAATTTAAGGAGTTTTTGGAAATTTCGAGGGAATGCGTGGAGTTTCTGGAAAATTCGAGAAAGACGAAAGTATTCACGTACAATTACAACTGTATCGAGACAGCCGCCTGCCATTTTAATTTCTTGGGTCTGTCTGTGATGGGTCCTATTTAGATGCGTTCGTAGAGGTTCGTAGGATATTCGAGGGGACGACTTTCTCTTTTTTATTATAAACACGAATTTTCGGTTGTTTTCAATCCTTTTATTTGCCCTTCACTATACAATGGCGGCTTTGTTTTCGTTTCTCATTCTTTTCGTCCCAAATGATGACGTCAACTGAAACAGATTTGAGGAGCGAATGGCAAATTTAATTCCGCCTCGTGGATGACTGGAAAAAACTGGAATTCTCATCTAAAATCCTGAAATTTAATGCTATCCAGGGAATGAATAATTCAACAATTAATCTCACAGTTCTCATTACATTTATTCAGCATCACTCCAAGTACTATATTACCTATATCATTAATTTAATTGAAAATAAAAGGGTGTAAAAAAAGTACAAATATTTACAAAATACTGCTTGTGGGGGGAAAAAATCTCATCAGAAAACTCGTTGAAATTGAAACTCAGTCAGGTTGAGATAAACTTTTACCAAAAATCATTAGTCGATTTCTCGTACAATTCATGATTATTATTATCATTAAGTTATTTCATCGCCAAGTACATGTGACTAGATATCGGCATGAATGATCGAATAATTGAGCTGGATATGAGTATGTGTATACATAACGAGATGAAATTGTGTAATTACTCTTTGAAATAGCATTTCGATCACTTCATTCTTCCTCCTCTTTCTCATGCTCATCAGCAGCAGTTTTGTCTTGCGATTAATATAAATCCTACATTATACAATTATAAAATCATTGTTGACAGTGTAAAAACGAGGCGGTTGCATTGCCATCATGTCGTATGAATTCTATTACATATTCGTTGTTAAAAGAGTTTAAAATCTTATCCATAAATCCAGTAATATTGTTCTTTCACTGCGCTTTTAACTTGAGAGGTAGATCATACTGATGTTTTACGGAGCGGTATGCGCTATTGATCTTTAAGTTCAGCCCTCGATTTAATCTCAGACTTAATGGCGTGAAATTCAAATTTTCATCGGAAGACTGAAACACAAATTTCATTCTCACTCGATCAATTTCTCATCTATATTTCGTCATATCTATGTTACTGAGTATCTTATATTTCTGTGGAGATATAAATGTGAAAAAGTAGGATTGAGTGTATCAAAAAGCCTTCTGGAATTCGTCTTTCGTCGAATGACTTTACTATTTTTTTTTATCTCTGAAAATAATCAATTGAATTTTAGTCATCAGCCCAATCTGACGTAGATTCGGGACATGATACCTTCTGCCTCCCTCACACAAATACTCGGGAAGAACATTGACAATTATGTTCACACAAGCTCGATCTGATTACATTAACCATGTAATTTTCAATCTCAGCAAAGTCAAAATAGTTTTTTTTCCACCAGTATATACAATAACACGTTTTCTTTATCTTAAACATTATCGTTTTGTCTCATTTAACGAGAGATCCATCACTCTTGTCTTTCTATTTCAAAATACACGAGTAGTTTATGCATATTGCATAATGTTTTAAAAAAATCCAAAGTATTGTTTTCATCGTGATATGACTGCGATAATTCTACCATCATTTTATTGTTCGGTTAGCCCTACCATTACGAAAATGAAAAATTGTAATTGCTACGTTCGATGTGAAATGCATTGGTTTGAAGTATTGAAACGAGATAACTATTCGAGTTGAGTTTAGTCATCTTGTTTCATTATTTCGGTATTGAATCGTCATCTACTACTGGATTCATTATAAAATGCAACAGCTACCGCTAAATATCTCATGAACTCGATTAAATATCCCTAGATAAATAAGATGCAAAGGTGAGACGCGTAAAAAATGATAGAAAAATCTAGAGCTTTCTTTACATTACTAAATATATTTGTTCAACTCCACGTTGTTAACTCCACGTAAATTAATTCAACTGTTCGTTGAATAAAAATTTATAAAACCGTTCGTAATGAAGTCTTTTTAATAAAAATTAGGAGATCCAAAACAAAAAGCTTCCATTTGTGCCGATGTTACGGACCCACGAGGTGTTATCGCCCTTCATCAGGGCAATAATTTATTCTTAATAATCCATTAGTTGTTCATGGAATCTCGACAGATTTTTTCACGTTTTTTTCTTGAATTTGTGTATGTAATGTAATTTCTCAGAGAAAGCGTCAGATTTTTCTATAATTTTTTTCATCCGTGGAATAACGAAAAACTCATGAGGAAGTTATGCTACAACTCGAGGCCGATTTCATTTTCATATCGATTCAAATGAAGTAGCTTATTTCTTCAAAAACCTTAATACGATACTATCGTTATATTTATTGGACAGAGGCAGTGTCAATTAGCCGTTGGGACCTTCCAGGCCATACCTTACATTCTAAATTAATCGTTATCATTGCATAGAGCAACTTGTCACCAGTGAAGTGGTGAAACCAGAGACCCATTCACGTCTCATTAAATGCTGAATTTACCAGAAAAACCCAGCGAATTCGCTAAAAAATTCGGTAGCTTCATCCATTAAATCTCTTCTCGCGTGATGTCCTGTTTCCCACTGGTCACCTGTACTTACAGACAGCTATCAACCACAATTTCCCCAATCTTTAATACAACATCATCGAAGGTTGGTCTCTCCCTGGGATCCTTCGACCAGCACTTGTCCTGCAGCTCCTGGAGAGCAGGTGGTGCAGCCTTGTGGGCCTTCCACTCTAGGGAGCCCCCCTTCAACAGCGTCAAAACAGTCTCATCATTGAATTTGTTGAAGGGCAGCTCACCCTGATGAAATATCTCCCAAACGAGACAGGAGAACGAGTACACATCACTCTTCGTCGAGTACTCGTCCTCGTAAACGGCCTCGTAAGGCAGCCACCTCAGTGGAATCACCTGATTATTATGTTTAGTGTACTCCTGCTGATAGGGCTCCTTAGTCATGCTGGTCATGGATATCTTGAGGCTCAAATTGCTGGCAATGAGGCAATTTCTCGCAGCAATATCCTTGTGCACCAGTCGATTATCAGCCAAATGCTTGAGCCCATTGGCAGCCTGACTGGCCAGCGCCAAAATCTGGGCGACAGAGAGCTGTGGAGCCCTGGCCTTGGCCTCCAGCGTCGAATTGCCAGTCTCCTCCTTCCTCGAGGCCACCAAAAACTGCTTCAACTCACCCCAATCTGTGTACTCCAGTATCATGTAGTCCGGCTCGCCCTCCCTGCACAGACCCACCAACTTCGCCACATTCTCATGATTCAACTTGTGAAAGAGATCCAGGTGCCTCTTAAACTCCTGCAGAACGGTCTCATCCTTGGTGTTGAGTAGGCTCTTCACCATGACAATCTGCTCCTTCTCGGAGTCCACTTGGTACCTAGTGGAGAACACTTCGCCAAATTCCCCTCGACCCAGTGGCTTAAGGTCCCCCAGGTTGGCCCGGGATATCGCGAGTTTGTCGTAACTGCTCTTGGACTTTCTCGAGTGATTGCTGCTCTGACTCTGCGCTGTCTCGCCACCATCGCTCCTGTGGGAGTCCCTGTTGTCCTTCTTCTTGCTGTTCGCCCCTTTGTGGTTCATCTCCTTGAGCTCTGTCTGCTCCTCGTGAACGTCACCATTCTCAAGCTTGTCGTCAGCCTGCTCCTGCAGGTACTGCTGCTTCCTCCTGCGTCTTCTGTATCTGCAGTACAGCATTAGACCTATCACCAGGACCATGTAGGCAGCAGCAACACTCAGGGTTATTGTCACTGTCTTTGTCATCATGGAGCCATCGTAGTTCTCCATGTCCATGTCGTATCTCGATTCGTCTCTTGGCTTCACTATCAACTGGACTTCAATTCGCTTGAGACCTCCACTGTTGCCAGCTGTGCAGCCGTACTGGCCGGCGTCCGTCATGAAGGCCTCTCTGATGTACAGGGAGCCATTGCCAAGCACTTGGGATCTTTCCCCCAAATTTCCAAGCTTCGAGTTCTTGTCCCAGTGGATCTGCGGTGTTGGCTTGCCCGTTGCCACACACTCAAGCAGAACCGGCGTTCCCTCCAGGACAAATGTCGGATCCTGGGGGAGTCGCTTGAACTGGGGGGCTATCACCACCTCAATGTCAATTGTGTGGTTGATCGAGCCCTGGGCATTCGTTGCCATGCAGATGTACTGGCCCTTGTCACTCTCGACAACACCGTTGAAGTGCAGGGTGCCATTTATGTCTTGAATGTGCTCCGGGAATTTATCACCGCAACCGTATTTCATCCATTTTACCGTCGGATTGGTGGAGCCCTGGGCCTTGCAGTATACCTTCGCTGTGGAGTTCAATTCCAGTTTTTTGTCGACAGGAGGGGGCGAGAATTTCAGTTTCTCTTGGATACTCACTACTGATGGCTCTGAGCGGATGCTTGGAAAGCCTTTTGTCTGGATTTCGCAGGTGTAGGTGCCCCTGTCTGAGAGGGATATCGACTTGAAGTGAAGGGTCACGTTGCCGTTGTGATTTGTCATTCTGTATCTGGTGGGGCCACCCGTCTCTTTCAGGGGCTCTGAGTCCTTCAGCCATTGGGCTGATGTCACTGGGGGTGGCAGACCGGAGTAGGTGCAGGACAGCGTCACTGGATCACTCTCCATTACTGATGAGGACTTTGGGGATGTGTGGAGGGTCGAGGGGGTGGAGACGATCACTTGGACGAGGATCTCGGTGGTGCCTGACAGGTTCTCCGCAACGCAGGTGTAGTTACCGTTGTCCTCGGGGCTTCGGGCTTTTGAGATTATCAGGGTGTTGTCTTGGGTGCGGACTGCACCGCTGTCGCTGATTATGTGGCCTCGGGGGTCGCGCCAGAATATTCGGGGGGACGGTAAACCTCGGGGCTCCAGGCAGCTGACCTGGAGCTCCTGGTCTTGGCCGACTATTGCCTGCTGGCTCGGCAGGGATGGCTCGAAACTCGCGTCCGTCAGGTTTTTAATGACTGAAACAGGGGTTTGGCATTCAGATATTTTTTCTTCGGCTGGGGTTGGAGTTCTAGGAGAGGGCACACGGACGAAAACATTTAATTGAAACACCTATCCAATTCGGTGGGTAATTGTATTGGATTTCTATTGAACTGTTCTATTAGTTTTGGCCGATTCTATTAAAATGTTCAATAGACAATATTCAGTAGATAATGTCAATAGAATTCTATTTTTCTGTATGACTTATTCTAGGGATATAGTTTCTGTAGAATTTCATCGGCTCAAATTTTTTAAACTTTTTCGTTTGATTTTCTTGATGAGAAGAGAAGAAAAATAGAATGAAAAAAATTGAAAATTTGAGTCGAGCAAATTCTATAGAAAATATATGAAAAGAATAAGTTGTAGAGAAAAATTGAATTCGATAGGCTTTTCTAGTAACTTTTTTCGTGCGTGCAGTGATTTATGCGTATTATTTTTTATCATTGTGCATGTTATTTTGATGCTTATTGTTATTTGTTTATTTATTATAAATTTATTATTTGTTCTCTGAAAAATTCTATTGCAGTTCTGGTTGGAATTTCTGAGAATTCTCTTGAAGTTTTGTTAGAATTCTATGAAAATATTCTATTTGTTTTTGAAACTTTAGAGTGTCAGTTTGTTGAGAGATATTTAATAGAAAAAAGTCGGGAGAATTTAGTTCATCTGTTGACTTTTTCTTATTGAATATCCAATATAATCAAAAATCCTATAAAAACCTACAGAATTCCAATAGAATTTTCTAGCGAATTCGCGAGGTTTTCTATTGAATTTTTTCATGCGTGTGGTATTTTTTTTTTAAGACAATTACAAATTACAATGATTATTTATTATTTATTATTTATTATTATTGATTATAAATTATTACTTGTCCTTTTCAGGACAAGTATTGATGATAATCCTGTTCTTACCAATCATACTCACATGCAATATAAAGCTCAGCCGTGTAAATCTGTCTCGTCTCGTCCCTGACACCATGACAAGCATAGATACCCTGATCGCGTTGTTCAACAGAGCGCAGCAACAAAGTGCCATTATCAAAAATCACTCGTTCCTCGTCATCAACGAGGGGGCCATTATCGTTGAAAAACCACTCAATTCTATCAGCATCTTCGTACATACAGTGAAACGACGTTGATTCACCGCGTTTCACTATGAGATTCTGGGGCACAACTTTTATTGTTGCTGTCTCATTCGACGGTATTACCAGTGGAAAGCTCTCCTTAATTAACGAATAGCCCGCTTCGTTCTTCGCTTTGCACGTGTACACTCCACTGTCTTGGGAATTTGCATTGTGAATTGATAATTTTCGCTTCTTTTTCGTCTCAATCCTTCCATCAGCCATTACCAAGCTGTGGGTATTCCTGGGGGAGAGGTGATTAAATTTAATGATCAATTATTTTTATCATATGTGTTGTTCTAATTACTGATTGATTCAATTGCCGAGGAGGCATTTTATTAATTTTTTTTACTCACTTGTACCACTCGTATTTCATTTCTCCGGAACCGTCGACGTGACAGCGTAATTCAATTTCACTACCCAGTCGCACTAACGATGGAAACTTGGGTGATTCCAGGACAACACTCGCTTCACTTATCCCTGGAAATAGAGGGAAAGCCGTTGATGAAAAAATTCTGTAATTATTTATATGAATTATATAACAATTCGTACAATTTAGATTCAAGTCGTTTTAGCTCAGCTGAGTTTTTGAGGATTATCTCGGAATCTGAGGCAGATAGCAAAATTTTCATTGGGACCTTTTTCGTAGCCCTTAATGTGCTCTACAAAAAAGATTATAACGAAAAATTCTCTATCTGCCTTGCATTTCGAGATATTCATGATTGTCTGACGCAATAATTTATTTTCATCAATCGTCATTTGAAGAAAAATGAAAAAAAAATTAGTCAATTGTTCAATGCATTATTGACATTTTAAAACATGTCCAAGTGCCCATATTGCCCCACTCTTCTTTACTTCTTTTTATTTTTTAAATTATAATCATTCGTATTTTCATGAGTGTTCTCCTCGTTTCAATTAACCACTGAATATTTTGGTAAGAAAATAAGGAAATTTCATCGTTTGTATTATCACCCTCAACTCGAAATCTACATGAAAAATCAAACAACAGTATAGCGTTCATATCTTTCATTTCCCCTCGATCCTTGAACTCAACCCAGTCTTCTCAGTGTCTCGGCTATTCGGATAACTTGTGTTTTAGATATATAAATGAACCGAGAGATCAAAGACACCAAAGGGGGCACGAAAAACCAGCTGGAGGGGTTTATTTTTATCATTCCTCAACATCCACCCAATGTTTATTGTTGCCATCCGTTCAAAGGTTTTTTTTTCTCTCTTCTTCAATTTGTGCCTTCCATGAGAAGTCGATCACGAAGTGTTTCACTCTATGAGTAATTTTGAATGCTGATTCCGGCTAATCGAAGCTATTATTAATGTGAGAGTAATTCCATGGATATTATTTCTCCCCCTAATTTTTTTCATATTTTTACTTCCGAGTGGAAGCTTTGCAATCACATAAGTTTAGGTTTATAATTTTTCGTGTTGGGGTAACTAAATATGGCCTGAAAAGTCAGGATATGCGATTTTTAAATATGATTCATTGATATAAATTAAAATTATATTTTTATACAGATTCGAAATTCTGATATTTTTCCAAAAATCAATTTTTCAACGATCGCTCAGAACATTGCCATCAAAATGGAATTAATCTTTACTTAAAAAATTGATAACAATACCCTTTTGATTCCATCGTTTCGTTTCGTTTCGAGAAAATTCGTCTGCATGTAGAATCATATTATTAATGTGAGAGTAATTCCATGGATATTATTTCTCCCCCTAATTTTTTTCATATTTTTACTTCCGAGTGGAAGCTTTGCAATCACATAAGTTTAGGTTTATAATTTTTCGTGTTGGGGTAACTAAATATGGCCTGAAAAGTCAGGATATGCGATTTTTAAATATGATTCATTGATATAAATTAAAATTATATTTTTATACAGATTCGAAATTCTGATATTTTTCCAAAAATCAATTTTTCAACGATCGCTCAGAACATTGCCATCAAAATGGAATTAATCTTTACTTAAAAAATTGATAACAATACCCTTTTGATTCCATCGTTTCGTTTCGTTTCGAGAAAATCCGTCTCAATGTAGAATCATTTGACAAAACGAAATAATCCGCAAAATTTTGATGGCATTTCAATTGACGATAGTACTATAACACGAAAAAAATAGAAGAGAATAGTGAGGTAAGAACTGAAAAAGCCCATTCGTAAGCCAATTGCCAATTCATTAGCAACAATAAACTCTTAAATGATGAACTCATTAAATAGTAAACTCATTTATTATAAAAAAATGCAACTAACCACTTGTCTCGTATTTTTATTATTACTCCATCTCCTCGAAATTGTCTCGCGGTTACTCAAGGACGAGGACTGGGGGAAGTTGAGCTTTTCGCAACAGTGATTTTTACGTTGATATGTCCTCATATATGTATATCTTCATGCTTCGTATAGCCAGTGTCAAGCATGCAAATAAACCAGCAAAAACCGAGGGAGAGAGAAAAAAACAGTGTTCCCACTTATTTTTTTTTTGTGTCATTATACAACTCCTGACTACCATTCTCCCCCGTCAATGAGAGAGATCAGTTCCAGGGGAAAACACCAAGATATGCCCAGGGTCGCTTGGAACACTACTCACTTCGAGGGAGGGGGACTGCTCTGGTTGCTATGGGAACGGTTCCAGAGTGGTATGTAGAGGAAAAAAAAAGAAAGGAGAGATATGAAGACAGAACGAGGGGGAGAGAGAAGGAGATGGTTGGGATAAGGGTGGAGGGAGGCCGACGGTCGATGCGAATACACCATAAAGTTTTATGGCCTTCCTCAAACCCCCTCCCACCACCGGCCAGATGTACATCTGATTTTGATTCTGTATTTCGTCAGGAAAAATTGGCAGGAGGAGAACGATGACGGGGTATTTGTCAATAGTTGGACTCGTGGAAGTGAGATGAATCAGTTGGAGGTGCCCCTCGTCTTCGGATGTCGTAAACAGATTCATTTCAATAGAACAATCCGATGATATGCGCGCTTGAACGAATTTCACTGGAAAACATTGCCCATTCGGTGGGTAATTCTGGTGGATTCAATAGGCGGTTCTCTTGAAATCGTCCAACTGTTTCCACAGAACTTTTTTTATTGAGAGGTTTTATGTAGGAGTTGAGAAAATTTGAGGGAAAAAATTGGAAAAATTTTGACGAGGAATTTTTGTAGGAAATAATAATAATCAATATAATGAGTTGTTTCGGCCCATAACTGATAGAGAATTTAATGATAGTATTTTTTTATTTAATGTTAGAGCGCTTTTTATACCATGAAGACAATTATGTAATTCCTTTCTTGGAAAAATCTTCATTTTTTTTCTATTTTTTTAATGTTTTACATGCTACTGAGTGGAGCAAAAACAAAAATTGAAAAAAAATTTCTTTTGATATAAAAGAAATCATCGAAATAATCACATTGTAATGATCAAATCCGAGAGTCACTGAGTGACCGTAATTTAGGGTGAAAACTAGATATATTACGTTAATTTTTTGATAGACCAGTTAAAAAAAATTTAAATAACGTAAATATTCTGTTGTAGTTGTGAATAAAAAGAGGGTTTAAAAAAATAGAAAATTTAATAGAAATCCAATAGAATTTATTTTATAGCAAAAAGTAGTAAAATTTTTTATACAACTTTTTCTATTGAGTCATTTTCTATAGGAATTCTATAGAAACTAAGGAAATTAAACGAAAAACTTGGAAAACTTGACCCGAAGAATTTCTATAGAAAATATCCCAGTCCAATAAATTGTACAGAAAAATTCAATTCTCTTTATTTTTCTATAGAATACTGTCCATTGAAAATTGCTATTGAAGTATTTTCTACAGAAAATCTATAGAGACTAAAAAAAAACAAAATTTATAGAAAAATTTGATCCAACGAATTTCTGCAAAAAATATCTCAATAAAAAATAAATATATACAAATTGTATAGAAAAATCGAATTCTATTAATTTATTCTATGGAATATTGTCCATTGAAAATTGCTATTGAAGTATTTTCTACAGAAAATCTATAGAGACTAAAAAAAAACAAAATTTATAGAAAAATTTGATCCAACGAATTTCCGCAAAAAATGTCTCAATAAAAAATGAATATAAATATATACAAATTGTATAGAAAAATCGAATTCTATTAATTTATTCTATAGAATGTTTACCATTGAACATTGCTACTGGAACCAAACGGGCGTAATTTCTCAATAGAATCGGCCGAAAATATAAAAAATTCAATAGAAATCCAATAGAATTTTTTCTGTGAAATTCTTTCGTACGTATTCACGTGGCATTGTCACTCTACAGATTAATTTTCAAATAACTTACATTGCACGTCGATTTTAGCTGGTGAACTCTCGATAGTGTTTCCACTCGGCTCATGATAAGCAACACAAACAAAGTTTCCACTGTCTAGAATCCTATTGACTCGAGTGATGTAGAGATCACTGTCAACTTGATGTCTTCGTGGACTGGGTGCCAGGGTCTGTCCATCGAGTTTCCATGAATAATTGACACCAAGTCTGGGCTGTGTCTCACATCGTAAACGCACGGGTGATCCCTCTATCACTGAATGGTCCGCGGGACTCACGGTGAAGGATAAACCGTCCTCCTGGCCGTGACCGAAGTTTCCTGGAATCATTGGAAGAGAAAAAAAAATTTTTTTCGGCCCAGTCTTTGAGGAATTCGTGGGAATTTCATGGGCTCTCCTATCGATAATTTAATTTCGAGTTTATGACGCTGAAGTTGGCGAAAAAAAATCGATTCAGACGAATCTGGGCGTGTGCACATATTTTTAAGTGATCACGCAGGAAAAAATCAACAGAAAACCTAGCGAATTCGCTAGAAAATTCTATAGAATTTCTATTGGAATTTCTGTAGGGATTCTATTGGAAAATTCTACTTGTTTTTTGCGCCGATTCTATTGCATTTTTCATAGGAAAAAGTCAATATATTTTGAATTTCTCTTCGAATTTTTTTCTTGAGATTTTTTTTTCAGAAAATTGATGCCCGAGCATTCTTATAGAAAAAATCTCAAGAGAAAAATTCAAGCAAAAATTACAAATTTGAATATCCAATAAAATTTGCGCAAAAGACAAATAGAATATTTCTATAGAATTCCAACAGAATTTTCTAGCGAATTCGCTACGTTTTCTATTGAAATCCTATTGAAATTTTCTCCTTGTTTTTTGCGCCGATTCGATTGCATTTTTGATAGAAAAAAGTCAATATATTTTGAATTTCTCTTCGAATTTTTCTCTTGAGATTTTTTTCATTAGAAAATTGATGCCCAATCATTCTTATAGAAAAAATCTCAAGAGAAAAATTCAAGTAAAAATTCCAAATTTGAATATCCAATAGAATTTGCGCAAAAGACAAATAGAATATCTCAATAGAAATCCAATTGAAATCCTATAGAAACCCCACAGACTTCCTATAGAATTTTCTAGCGAATTCGCTAGGCTTTCTATTAAATTTTTTCATACGTAGACTCAGCTCTAGACTGAGTTTTCGAGGAATATCTCCGAATCTAAGGCAGCTAGCGAAATTTTCATAATAACATTTTTTGTAGCTCTCAATTCGCTCTCCAAAAAAGGTTCACACAAAAATTCAGCTACCTGCCTTGGATTCCGAGATATTCATTGAAAACTGAGGGATAATCAAACGACTTGGCTTCGTTCCTGAATTAAATAAATCACTGATTAGGAATGTCTTATCTATCTCGGAGGATGAACATCCTCGAGCCGGAAATGGCGCATCCCCTGATAATGTCCGGTCCTATCAGCGAGTCTGCAGCTCCCTCATGGATTTTTTTTCTCATGAAAGCCATCGAAAAAATTTAATCAACAAACATGCTCTTCGCAGATCACAACGGGACAGGAAAAAAATCCACGATCTGAATTCATTTCTCTCGGTGTTTGTGCCCCTCATTCCAGTCCAAGTTACTGAATAACGTATTTGTAAACCTAATGCTGAGGGAGGTGGAGAAAAAAACTGGATACGAAACGGTTGGAACAAAGAAGCTTTAGTAGTACTTGGGGCCCATGTGCGTGAAAAAAACGCGAAGGGAGCCCAGGAAACGAAAAAGAAGACGTGGAGAAACGGAGGAATGGAAAATAAAGGATTGGCCAATGACGTTAGCCGTGACCATGGGTTCCCACCCCCTTCCGACCCCATTATTCGCAAATTTTTTTTTATGACGTGCTGCCTCTGGCCGGCTTTTTATTCCATCAGAGTGGACTTATTATGAATAACTGGTGTACCTGGTTGGGACTAATATCGGGTTTCTAATCCTCTGAAATGTCTGCCAACATCTCTATGGGGAGAAAATCCCTTGAAAATGCGGAATTAACGAACAAAAAGATTTTGTTCTCTGGGTGAATAGATTTTAGTGGAAGATGTTTTATGTTTTCTTCTGAAGCAGCGTGACAAAATTTTACAGAAAAACCTAGCGCTTTTTCTGGGAGATTGTATTGAATTTATTTTTGAATTCTTTGAGAATTCGCTCGAAGGTTTATTAGAATTCTGTGAAAAAATCTATTTGCCATTTTGAGCCAAGAAAAAAAGTTGGGAAAATCGCAGTGGAATGAGTTATGTAGAACCATCGTCTAGAGATATTTTCTACAAATGAATAGATATTTCAAAATGTGGGGGAGGTTGCTGAATTTTCAATGGAAATGGCCCAAAAAATATTTGAATATTGAAATGTTCAATGGAAATTATTTAACCGAAAAAGTCAATTCAATAGAATTTGATTTTTCTATACAATTTATTCTCTTCTCATATTTTCTGTAGAATTTCCTCGGCTCAAATTTTCCCAATTTTTTCATGCTAAGAAAATTAAAGAAAAAAAATTAATATCTCAATAGAATAAGTTTTACAGAAAAATTAAATTTTTTTGACTTTTTCTATAGAATTTCCTCGGCTCCAATTTTCCAAGTTTCTCCATGCCATTTTTCTTTTCTTCTCACCAAAAAAATTAAAGAAAAAAAATTTAATATCTCAATAGAATGTTTTACAGAAAAATCAAATTCTTTCAACTTTTTCTATAGAATCTCCTCGGATCAAATTTTCCAAGTTTTTTTTATGCAATTTTTTTCTTCATCTCATCAAGAAAATTGAAAAATAAAATTTCAATATCTCAGTAGAATAAATTTTACAGAAAATCAAATTCTTTTGACTTTTTCTATAGAATTTCCTCGGCTCCAATTTTCCAAATTTTTTCATGCCATTTTCTTGTCTCCTCACCAAGAAAATTAAAGAAAAAAAAATTAATATCTCAATAGAATACGTTTTACAGAATAATTTAATTCTTTCAACTTTTTCTATAGAATATTTCAATAGAAATCTAACAGAATTCTCTACCGAATTCGCTGTTTTTCTAATTTGTCATCCCTGAAATTTTCGGAGCAGACCGAATAACTCATCACAATTATCCATAATAATTACCCCCATTACCCAATAAATAACCACAATTATTAAATTATCAAAATCAATAGAAAATAATTGAGCATAAAGAGCCGGCTGAATGACTCCGAAAGTGATCTTCAGACAAGCCCCGAATGATTCATCCCCCCGCCGCCGGAAATATGACCGGGCGCCGTGAACCGAAAACCCTTTGAGCCGTCACCTGAGATTATACCCATGCATCAAATCGATACCAAGAACCGGGGATTACAATTACTCCCGCGAGATAATTCCCATCGCAACGAGAGCAGTCACTCACCCAGCAGTAGAAATATCAGGGATGGAAGAAACAAGTTCATTCTGCGGCAATTCCCTCCTCTCGGGTCTTCGAAAATCGAAATTTCAAGATACAAAAAACATAGATGAGAAAGAGCGCTTGTATTTTCCGTCACATCACTGAAAAATTAACTTGGCACATGTAGATATTTCATAGAGTCAACGGCCTGCGATTGAACGATTGCGGTGGAGGTAGACGAAGGAAAGGGACGCGCAGTACTGAAGTAACGCTTGGCGGTTTGGCCCTGTACAGTTTCCACTTGTCTGGCAAGCCCGAGAGGCTCTCCCTGCCTTCGTCGGTTATATCCGATACTTTCCGACCCCTACTTCGGCGCCGTTGCTAACTGACTGGGGTGGACGGCCTGCCAATTTGTCTGGAGGAGGGGGAACGAACCCAGGGGATCCCGGAGTTTGAGTTTTCTTCGATAAATAGTTAAACTTTTTTATCAACTGTTGGTGCACTAGCGTTTAGCTACAATTCACATTAGTTTTTATCCCTCATCAATTCCTGAGGAAATTTACGATCTTTTAAGCTATTTTGTGAGTACTCAGAGGTCGCTTTTTAGCTAAATTTCAACTTAACTCTTAGTTAACAGCTACATTAACTTTTAGCTAAAATTTCCATTCGTTTTTAGCTAAAATCTACATTAATTTTTAGCGCAATTATATTTTTTTGGGATTTCTCGTAAATTTGAGGATTTAACCTCCTGAATCCAATTGCATTCAATTCCTGAGGAAATTTAAGATCTTTTAAGCTATTTCGGAGTACTCAGAGGTCGCTTTTTAGCTAAATTTCAACTTAACTCTTAGCTAACAGCTACATTAACTTTTAGCTAAAATTTCCATTCGTTTTTTGCTAAAATCCACATTAATCTTTAGCTCAATTATATTTTTTTGGGATTTCTCGTAAATTAGAGGATTTAACCTCCTGAATCCAATTGCATTCAATTCCTGAGGAAATTTACGATCTTTTAAGCTATTTTGGAGTACTCAGAGGTCGCTTTTTAGCTAAATTTCAACTTTAACTCTTAGCTAACAGCTACATTAACTTTTAGCTAAAATTTCCATTCGTTTTTAGCTAAAATCCACATTAATTTTTAGCTCAATTATATTTTTTTGGGATTTCTCGTAAATTAGAGGATTTAACCTCCTGAATCCAATTGCATTCAATTCCTGAGGAAATTTACGATCTTTTAAGCTATTTTGGAATACTCAGAGGTCGCTCTTTAGCTAAATTTCAACTTAACACTTAGCTTACAGCCACATCAACATTTAGCTAAAATTTACATTAACTTTTAGCTAATCTTCATGAATTTTCAGCTAAACTCCACATTGACCTTCACTTAATATCCACATTAACTTTGAGCTAATATTCATTATTATCTCAATTCAATTTTTTTGAAGATTTCTCGAAAACTAAGGGACTTAGCCCCCCGAATCCAATTGCATTAAACTCCTCAGAAAATTAACGATCCTGCATGCCATTGAAACAAAGACCCGCTGCATCCGCCAGTGGCTAGAAAAAATAATTCATGAAATAACAACTTCATCATCTCTTTCAAACGTTATTTTATTAGGAATTCCAATATACCATAATTGACTGCAATCCATCATTCAAAAAGGAATCAATCGCATAATGACTCATATGAAAAACTATCTAATCATAATCATCCCTCGAATAAAAACACTACAACAAGTCTTCCATTTCCTGCATAAATTGCATGTACGCATCGTCCTTGGTTTTAGGTTGTGACGACCTGGCTGAATGAATCTCGGGTATTCTGTCCGGTAACCTGGAGACAATGCTGTTACCTGTCTTCTTTTTATCTTCGCGCTTGACTCTGAGAGATGTCGGCAGAAATCTCGTGACATCTGCAGCTAGATTTCTTATCTGGGGTTTGGCCTCGATCGTTGTGGAGCTCTTCCCGTCCTTTTCGTTTCTATTTATGAGCTGGGGCGCAGCTGATAGTACATTGGGTTGCTTCGCTTGAATGGCATTGCCACTCGCAACGGAGTGCATGTGCGAATTTGAGAGATTTGGAATGCCCGAGAGATTGTGAATCTGCATTTGAAGGGGTGGCGGCATGCGGGGCATGCTTGGGGGCCCTGGTCGAAGTAATCGAGGCATTCCTGGTGGTGGCCCTGATGCAGTGGAGAAAAAATTAGATACAGCACGTGTGAAAAAATTTTATAGAAAAATCGGGGGAAGTCGAGGGACATTCTATTGGATTTTTGTTCAACTTTGGGATAAGTTTGGCCGAATAATTGGAATTTTAATTTTAATGAAACAATAGGGAACTTGCATGATTTTTTTTCAATTAGTTAATTAATTAATTTTTTGTTTAATCAATTTTTTTCATGTTTGGGACCTGAATAATTCATTTTTTATTCACCCTCGAAATATTGCTCATTAATTAATAATTAATTGGTAAAAGTTGAAGATTTCAAAGGCTTTAGAATCGCTAGTGACGTCAGACAGACGGTCGAGTGCTGAACCAATCAGAATGGCTCGGGCCGACCTAACCCAATCTTGAGGTGCGCCTCGGCCAATGGAGGACGACAACTCCCCACTCTCTTCTCCTTAGACCAATGAAGTGTTACCTAATCGGCTTCATGACGCCATGACCGAAAAATTGCCATCGAAATTGACCAATTTTCAATTAATTATCAAAAGACATTCTGGCAATATACTTCCATAATTTTCGACGTTGAGCTGTCCATGTGTTATGAGGAATGCATAAGGGAATTCGAAAAAATTGAGCTTCACCCAAGTTTCCTATTCTCAAAATTCATAATGAAGATAATTCAAAAACCCCAAAGTATTTATTTCAAGAACCAAAATGTTCTGAAAAAGTCCTCGTAAAATTCTTAAACTTGAGAAAATTTTGTAGGGGACGGTGGGGAAAAATGAAACACGGGGCAAAATGAAACAGCAAGAAAATCTTGTGATCTAAGGGAGATAGAACGATTTTCATGAAAACCTTTTTTGTAGAGAATTTTACAAGCTACAAAAAAGGTCCTCTTCAAAAATGTCCTATCTCCTTTAGATGACGAGATTTTCCCACTGTTTCATTTTGGCCCGTGTTTCATTTTGCCCCATGCTCCCCTAAATAAATTCCAAATAATTCCACATTTATCTCACAAATGTCTTCAGGAAGAAAACAAGAAATTGAGTCCATAGAGAATGAAATTGCCACCGAAAAACGTTTTTTGACGTTCTCCCATCGCAAATAATTTTCGTAAAAAAACGAATAATTTCAAATTAAAAAAAATGAGTTGGTAATCACCTGGTGGAAGTCGCAGTCCCATCCTGGGCGGTGGTGGTGGTGGCATTCGCAGATGCATGGGAGGAGGTGGTGGACGATACATCAAAGGTGGTGGAGGCATGCCCATCGGTGGCATTCCATGCTGCTGTTGCAGATGTATCGTAGACTGTTGAGAGCCCTGAGAGGATCGACTGGCCTCCGAGGACGCCTCAGCAGCTTCAGTCTTCTTATTCTCCTGTCCATTATTGACCTTCGAAGACTTTCCATCGGTGTCGGCATCCAGTAGGGACAGCCTGGCGTTCAGATCCTGCGCTCTCTCGGTCTCCCTCTTCTTGTGGACGACCTCCATCTCCCTCATGAACTGGTCTATGTCCTGTCCAGCCATCGCCAACATCTTCTGTTGCAATGTCGTCGGCTTGACTTTCTCCAGTTCCCTCTCCTGACCCTTTTCCTTCTGGGAATTTTGCTCCTTCTCTGATGACGATTTATTCTCGTCTTTGTCGTCTGCGAATCTTATTGTTCGAGACTTCTGGGATGAAGTTATGGACTGGAATTGTGAGATTTAGGGGAGCTCAATGAATAATTTTAGGGAATTTCATGGATATTGAGTCCAGATTAATTAGAAAAGTGACAGAAAGACAATTTAACTTGACAATTAATTTCTTCACTGAATTCATTCAATTTATGATTAATAAGAATTATAAATTATTAATTCAATTAATTATTCTATAATTTCTCTTCACTGTCAATAAACTGTTGACAATTTAAACAGATGAATTGACGTAAAAATACACTGAAAGAAATTATTTATTCGAATTAACTGAACATTATTTGAATCAAGTGAATGAATTAATTGTCGTTAACATGCACAATTCTTCATTTTGATGAGACGAATCGTTTGATTCTACTACAGGATTTTATCTAATTAATTATTCATCATTTATTTAACGTTATTTCAACATTTTCATTCAAATAAACCCACGAATTTATCAATTCCCAACAAAAATAGTATTGGACGAATAAAAAAATTGAGAAATGAAAATTTTTAACGGAATATTTTGAAGAATGGGACGTAATCAGCTCCAACTTGGGATGGAATTCACTCACCTTATCTGACGACTCCTCATCCTCACCGGCAATGTCAGGTGGTGGATATGGAGGTACCCCTGGAGGTTCTTTACTAGGAGCCAGGATGGACACTGTTGTTGCAGCAGAGTAGACACTAGTTTTCTTGAGAATACTGGGCGGTATGGGGATGGCCATCAACGGGTGGTGCTGCGGTATGTAGTGGGAATGTGGAGGGTAGATGTGGGCTGGGGGCTGGGGCAGGTCGGGCAGGGGAATCTGTGATGTCATGGCTCCTGAAAGAATTTTTACTACAATTTATTCGTTCATTTATTCAATTCCAGAAAATTCTTGTTAATTAGACAATTCTTTTACATTTCTACTGAACTTTCTATTAATTTTTGGCCAATTCTATTGGAATGAATTCGATTTTCTGTAGAATTTCCTCGATTAAAAATTTCCAAGTTTCTTTGGTTGATTTTTTCGATGAAAGGAAAAGAAAAATGGAGTGAAAAAAAATGGAAAATTGGAGTTGAGGAAATTCTGTTGAAAATAGCTCAGAGTCAGAGACATTTCGTGATGATATGGATTTATTTTATCACCTGGATATATCCTGGACATGTCAGTATTCGGCGATGGCAGTGGAATCTCGTCGACCTGGACCTGTTGAGCATGTTTGACAGCCTCGAAATAAGACACCAGATCAATTCGTCTTCTTTCGTACTGAATCAACTGCTCTTTCAACTCTGCCCACTTCTCGTGATCGTCTTTGGCCTGAAATGTGTGTATTTCTGTGAGAAATCTTTGCCTCATTTTTTATCTTATTTATTTACAATAAAATATTGTTTTAAACGATCTTTCATCGATCTTTCATCGACAATATCTCCTGATCAAATGGTGCGATTTGAATTACTCACGTCTCATTTTTTAATTTAAAAAAGTATCTTGAAAATGAAAAAAAAAATTGGGAAATTTCACTCTGCCATTCTCGAGTGAAAAATTATGAATCATCAATGGGATTTGATTATTCGAGCATTTTATTTCGATGAAATTTCTAATTACTACTTACATACATTTTCAGCACTCGATCTAAAGTCTCCTTGAGCTTTTTCCGTTTATCTTTCAGCACTTTCTCGTTGAGAGGCGGTGGCTGCATGACGTTATACTCTGGAAATAATGAAAATTGTAGGAGAATTTAGGGAGACTCGTGGGCTATTGTCTTACCCATTTGATCAATCTTCTCCATTTCCTCTATGATTTGGGCTGGATCCTTGCCCTTCAGCACTGCTGCCCTCACCAGTTGACGTTGCTTCTTGTTTTTCTTGAGTTCCTTCTTGCGAGCTTCCTTACCTGTCAGCCAAAAATAATCCCACAAATGCAATAGTCGTATTTCAATAGAGTAAGTTGCATTGAAAAAGCCAATTCTGTTGATTTTTTTCTATAGAATATTTTCCATTAAACATTTCTATTGAACTATAACTCAAAAAACTGCGGAATTCTTGAATAGGATCCGCCAAAAACGAATAGAAACCCAATGAAATTTTCAAGCAATTCTCTTTTTATGGAAAAAATGTCCGACAGACAGTTTTTTCATTTAAAAAAATATAACAAAATGTTTAAAAAATTTGAGCTCAAGAATTTCTACAAAAAAATATCTTAATAGAATAAATTGTATAGAAAAATTAGATTCTATTCATTTTTTTCTATTGGATATTTTGCATTAAACATTTCTGTTGAAATAAAACTCAAAAAACTGCAGAATTTTTTAACAGGATCCCCCAAAAACTGGTAGATACCCAATTAAATTTTCAAGCAATTCTCTTTTTATAGAAAAAAATGAAATGAGTGGCTACTCCTCTTCTCATAAAAAAATACAAATAATACAAAAATACAAACAAAACGTTTAAAAAATTTGAGCCCAAGAATTTCTACAAAAAAATATCTTACTACAATAAATTCTATAGAAAAATTGCATTCTATTGATTTTTTTTACAGAATGTTTTCCATAAAACATTCCTGTTGAAATAAAACTCAAAAAACTGCGGAATTCTTCAATAGAATGCACCGAAAACTAATAGAAATCCAATAGAAGTTTCCAGCAATTTTCTTTTTGTAGGAAATGTCCAATAGACACTGTTTTCATTAAAAAAATACAACGAAACGTTTACAAAAACTGAGCCCAAGAATTTTAACAAAAAAATATTTTACTAGCATAAATTCTGTAGAAAAATTGCATTCTATTGATTTTTTTACAAAATGTTTTCCATAAAACATTCCTGTTGAAATAAAATTCAAAAAACTGCGGAATTCTTCAATAGAATGCACCAAAAACTACTAGAAATCCAATAGAAGTTTCCAGCAATTTTCTTTTTGTAGGAAATGTCCAATAGACACTGTTTTCATTAAAAAAATACAACGAAACGTTTAAAAAATCTGAGCCCAAGAATTTCAACAAAAGAAATATCTTACTAGAATAAATTCTATAGAAAAATTACAGTTTATTGATTTTTTTACAGAATATTTTCCATAAAACATTCCTGTTGAAATAAAATTCAAAAAACCGGAATTCTTCAATAGAATGCACCAAAAACTACTAGAAATCCAATAGAAGTTTCCACCAATTTTCTTTTTGTAGGAAATGTCCAATAGACACTGTTTTCATTAAAAAAATACAACGAAACGTTTAAAAAATCTGAGCCCAAGAATTTCAACAAAAAAATATTTTACTAGCATAAATTCTATAGAAAAATTACAGTTTATTGATTTTTTTACACAGAATATTTTCCATAAAACATTTCTACTGAAATTAAACTCAAAAAACCACGGAATCCCTGAACAGAATCCGCGAAAAACCAATAGAAATTCAATAGAATTTCCTAGCGAATGCACTAGGATTTCCAATGAAAACCTTTGATCCATGAGGTTATGGTACGACAATAAACTCACGAGCTTGATCAGTAGGATTCATGTATTTCCCACTCTTGGTGGTATTGATAGACCGTCGTCCCATTTTGATGAGTATCAACCGACTCGGGCGATCACTAAGCCACAAATTCTCCAAAAAACTCAATTGTTCCTTCGATTTCTGACGGCTGCTCCAAAAACAGAACGAGGGACACTCACACGGTCGATCGCGACGCTCTCTAGCCCCCTCGAGGGGCTCCAGCGAGGGCGTCTCTCGTCGAAATCCACTCGATCCTCAGCGTTTCTCAGGGGTGGGGGACTGGATCCAACTGGGGATCGTGGAGAGAGGGGATTTCTAGTGAAAAGAACACTTCACGCACTCATTCCAAGTGCTCTCGACTCTACAACTCTAGGTACCCTCGGTTTCTGACGACTCTTGTGACTTCAATTCGCAAATATTCCTGGAAGCCGAGTAGTGATGCTCGTGGAGGAGTCGCCATAGCATAAATTACCCTGAATTTTCGTCGAGAATTATCGCAATCCAGCTCTCAAGACCATGTTTGGATCACTCGACTAGAAGATATTCCTCTGGATTCGCACTTTTTCGTTGCTCAGCATCCATCGATCGTTGTTCTTCGGCTGGAGTTTGTGGGGAATTCGTTCGTCAGGATGAGTGGAACAATAATTGAAAATTTGAGTGGGAAAAAACTCTCGGTTCTCGTGGTTTTTCTCATCATTGCACAGATTACGTGCTTTCTGATTGGAGGACTTGTGGGTGAGTAGACGGCGTGGAAAAACATTTGGCAGAACATATTTTTGTTTTTGGAGTGGAATTCGATTTTTCTATACAACTTATTGGGATTTTTTTGTAGAAATCCCTCGGCTACAATTCTCAAAGTTTTTTGTTTGATTTTTTTAAGTAAAAGAGGAGACAAAATTTGGGGAATTTGTGACGAAAAATTCCTGCAGAAATCATCTTAATGGAAAGTATTGTATAGCGAGATTTAATTAGGGGAGGGTGGGGTAAAACGGACACTTTTGACTTTTTTTAAAAATATTAATGAGTGACGAGCCTAAACTGAGCTCAATTCGTAAATTTGTTTCTGAATTATAAATTATTTTTAAAAAGTCTCAAGTGTCCATTTTACCCCACCCTCCCCGATACTGATTTTTTCTGTGGAATTCGATTGGGATTTTTTAAAGAAATCCCTCGGCTCCAATTTTCCAAGTTTTTTGTTTATTTTTTTTAAATTAAAAGAGAAGACAAAACTTGGGAAATTTATGGCGAACAATTCCTGCAGAAAATATCTTAATAGAAAAAATTGTGTAGCAAAATTTAATTATACTGATTTTTTCTATAAAATTTCTGTTGGACATTTGTAATTGAAAAAACTCGCAGTAAAGCTCTGAAATTATTCAATAGGATTATTCAACAGAATCAGCCAAAAACGATTGGATTTTTTCATAGAAATTGAATGGAACTCGCTACCTTCTTCTGCGAAATTTTGTCATGCTTGAAAGGTTTGAAGTCGTAATTTTGAAGCTAATGGGATTACTTTCAGCTCCGAAACCAGCGACCAACCAGAATATCCTGGCTAGAGCGTGCAAGGATGACAGGATCAATGGATCAGGACTTGACACATCCAAGTGGTATTACTTTCAAGGAGTCGGGGCCTGCCAGCCTGAGGATATGCATAAGTTTGATGTTGACAGTCAGTTCAAAGCGTTTCAGGTCGTCTATTCCTTCCAGGTGAGCCTCACAATATTTCTGAATGATTAATGAGAAATTGAATTAACAAACTAATGCACTTATTTCACTGAAAATGTTTCAATCAAATGCAATAAATAATTTATTCGTTTTCAATTAATTAGACGGGAATTAATTCCTAATTAATAAATCCTTTATTTGATAACAAAAAAATTCGCCTATATTTTTCAAAAATATTTGCAATCAGTAAATCAGGAATATTTTGAGAGAATGTAAACTTAAATAGCAATTTTACAAATAAATTAGCAATAGCAATTTAAAAAACACGAAATTTTTCAAAATTTTTGAATAAATGAAAATCACGATTACTGCTCAAGGGACATCAAAATAATTTTTAACCCATCATTCAATCAATTCAGAATATTGTTTTTAGTTATTGTGGGACAACGATTTTCGAGAAAATTCAAAATTAAAAAAAATAATCGATGAATTAAATTTTAATTAGTGGCGATCGATAGGACTCAACAATCCTACATTTGAAAAAAAGACAAAAAACCTAAACCTTAAGTTTGAACGATTACAATGCTTCCAAAGCCAAATAAAATTGTTAAGAATTTGACAATTGTTAGGATTTTTTTTTTAAATAACAAGAAAGAATTTGTTTTCCCCTCAAGATGCCCTTGCCAAGGAGTAACATGATCCTGGACTACTCGAGATGGCAGCAAAATCTCATCGGAGTGTTGCAAGTGGAGAGTGTCTACCACGATCAAGTTCAACTAGCCCCGAAGATCCCCATGATCCTGGACGCACGACTGGCGTACAGGAACAAGGGGGATCCCGACGACGCCTGGAAGCCGTACGCAGCCTCGAGGATTGAGAGATACCTGGAGTGCTCAATCGCCGACGAGATCGAGCACTACAACTACAACTGCGGAGTGATTCCCCTCTTCGAGCTCGGCTCACTCTACCACGACTACTACCTTCTCAATATTCGTTTGCCCATCGAGAAGAATGTCAACCAGGGTCTTGGGCACATAAGCGACCTGTACCTGACTGTCATCAATCAGAATGGGGGCTTCACGAAGGTCTGGGTCAGCCTCAAGACCATATTCTTTCCCATTGTCATATGCTTCATGGCGTGGTACTGGCGGCGAGTTAATTCCATGTCACGACCACCTGCACTCCTGGAGTACATGCTCCTCGCTTTGGGCTGTGCTCTGACTTTTCTGAATCTCCCCCTGGAGTACCTGACCCTCTCCTACGACATGCCATTCATGCTGCTGTTGAGTGATATTAGACAGGGGATTTTCTACGCTGTTTTGCTGTCGTTTTGGCTGGTCTTCGCTGGAGAACATCTGATGGTAATTAATGAGAATTTCGGGGATTTTTTAGCGTTTCAAGGCCCGGGTGTACTATCTTTCGAATGTTATCTGAATTTTTTTTTATCTTTCGTAATCCGAAATTGTCAATTGAGTGGTACATCATGTAGAAATTCCCAAAAATATGATAGAATGATAAAGAAAATAGAAAAAATTCTGAACTTTTTCAAAGAGCGTTTTTAATTGAGGTTCAGAATGAGTTGAAAAACGTGGAAATTAGAAATATCTGATTCGCTGTGGCAAATTATCTATTAGCTGTCATTTTCGATGGTGGATAACAAAATACTGACTCATCATGGGAAGTGACAGCTAGGTATCTCAATTTTCAAAACACTGGTATGTTGTCATCTGCCATTTTTATGTGATAAAAGTGTGATTAAAAATTCTCCAATATATTACAACTTTTTTCAAAGAGCCTTTTCGGTAATAAATGAATCTGTGCAGTGTGGGAAAAGATTTACGAAATCAGTCTTCCCCCTGCATGATATTGAGTGACAGGCCGCCATTTGTCACCGTAAATCAGATACATTTTTCAATTTCTTATTATCCAACTTATACTGTACATAAATTAAAAATGCTCTTTGAAAAAATTAAGAATTTCTCTACTTTTTTTTGATTATTCATTCAATTGACAATTTGACTCAATTGACAATTTCAGATGACGAAAGATGAAAAAAAACATCAAGATAAACAACAAGATATTCTTATTCTCTTTTCATTAAAAAAAGCTCAATCAGAAAAACTTGGCGCATTCTCTAAGATATTCCGTTTATTTTTGCGTCAATTCTGTATGCAACTTCATCGAATCGATTTTTATTTTCCTATAAAAATTCTTGGACGTAAACTTGCCAAATTTTCAACACTCAACTAAGTTAAGTAAATTGATTAAAATTTCTTAATTACCGAGTTGAACATCATTAATTCCAGCAGAACACGTTTTTCTATAAACAAATATTTATTTACAACTCACGGTTGAGTTCGATAATACTTGAGTCAATTGGCGCAAAAAACCATTAGAATCATTAGGATTTTTCAATAGAATTCCAACAGAAAAATTCAATTCAATTAGAGGAAGCGCTAGATTTCCATGAAATGTCTTCACCCATCGTGAATCCCAATTCCGTCGTGATAACTAAAAATCCCAAATTTCAGATTCAAGATGGTGACCAGAAGAACGGCCTGAAATGCTACTGGCGGCACTTGAGTGCAGTAGTCGTCGGTTGTCTCTCCCTCTTCATCTTCGACATGTGTGAGCGTGGAATTCAGCTGATAAATCCATTCTTCTCAATCTGGGTGACCAACATCGGTGCCAAACTCGCCCTGTCCTTCATCATTCTCGCGGGTATATCCGCAGGATTCTACTTGCTATTCCTCACCTACATGATATGGAAAGTCTTCATGAACATAAACGTGAAGAGATGCGCACTCCCGAGCATGAGTTCGGCCCGACGTCTGCATTACGAGGGTGTGATCTATCGTTTCAAATTCCTGATGATCGCCACTCTTCTGTGCGCGTCCCTCACTGTCGTTGGGTTCATCCTGGGACAGATGGCGGAGGGACAGTGGAAGTGGGACGAGGACCTGGAGATCGAGACAACGTCTGCTTTCTTCACTGGGGTTTATGGCATGTGGAATATTTACATTCTCGCTTTGCTCTGTCTTTATGCACCTTCCCACAAAAAATGGCCGGTTGAACCCACTGATCAGAGCCTCGGGGAGGAAATTGAATTCGCTAGACTATCAACTGAACCCAATGAGATGCTCTCGCTCACTGCTTTCGCCAGGAAGACTGCCACGGAATAGATTCTACTTAATGGTTTTATTTATTTTTTTTAACACTGGGACGAACAAGTTCAGTGGAAAATCCTAACACTTTCTCGAAGAAATTCTAGTGAATTTCTGTTGGAATTTTATTAAAAATTGGGATTTTTCGCCGGCGTTTTTCATTGAAAGAAGGACATACATATTGATTTTTTCATATGATTTATTCTATTCGGGTTATTTTTATAAAAATTCTTGGGCAAAATGTTTCAAGTTTTTTTTATTGAGGAGAATAAATGAAAATACAGCAGAAAAATCTTGGGGAATTTATGCCCAAGTGTTTCTATTCAAAAAGAAAAATCTACTGACTTTTATATCAAAATTTTTTTAAACATGGCAGGGTAAAATATCTTCAGTAGAATTGGGGAAAAAACAAATAGGATTTTTCAGTAAAATTCCAACAGAACTTGAATAGAATTGCTATAGACTTCTGAAGTAAACAGTGAAATAGTCTCCTGAAATGATCGATCAATCATCATTTCGTCCTCATTATCTGTAAGTTAAAAGAGGTGATATATTACACTAAGTTTTATTTATCATATCGCAACAAGTGAAAAAAATGACGACGAATCATGCGTTTCCCCGAATATTGGGTGGACTTAACGATAGGATATGATTTAACGAGCCAATTGAACTTCCTCGATGTGTGTAAAAATGTTTAGACTCATGTATTCATTAGAGAGGCCCCTGGATTCGTATTCTTCCACGTACAACTTATGACTACTCCAGATTACCCTCTGATGAGTTGCGAAATTTACTGGGATAATTGTTAGTGACGAGTATATCATGGTAGGTGAGCAGTTTTACAATATTCCGCATTAGTGATCATGTTTGTAAGGAAGTACTCCTCTTGAATGTAGAATAGTGCAATTATTTTTGTTCATTTTTCACTCGAAACACTCGATTGAGAGCAACATCGATCTTTACATTGGGTTGAGAACTTCGTCGCAAGTAATTATGCAGAAACCGACCTGTATTATTTTTTTATAAATTTTTGTAATAGTTTTTGCCAGAAGGTGTGTGAGAAAATAAATGACTGATTTTTTCACTTTTAAATTGACGCTTTTTCGTCTCAATTTCTATTGCTGATTGAGTGAGGTCATTGATACTATCATTCATGATATAAACTACTGTATATTATTTTTTAATAATTTTTTATTCGACGAGATTCAAGAGAATCATTTTGAAAAATTGAAAATTGTTGACAAATCACTAAAAAGTCTGGTTTTTGATGAGCAATTAATTTTTTTCATGCAAACAAACAATTCTGTCTTCATCCACACGTTTGAAATGAATCTTAAGCTCCCAGAATTTCCTTCATTACCGACAAAACGTGAAAATGAAGGGAAGAAGTAGGATATTCCATCTTCCACCGTCTGAAACTCGAGTTTCATAGAGAAAACGTCAGTATCCCATTTCTCCACAAATTCGCAATGTCATTCAACTCGCCAAAATGACGAAAATAAATGTAAAAAACGCCCCAGAGCTCGATAAATCATGTGACTACTAACGATAATTGTACTAATATTCTTGTGACAAAATCAGAATTGATGACTCGATTGTTTCGAAGTGCTGAGGATAGAATTTCCCCCAGCATTCTCGTCGGATTGAAAGAAGAATGACGCTACGGGTGATTACCGAATGTTCAACAAAGGGGGGTGAGATGTATCGTGTTTTTATCACTGGCTACCGCCTGGCGGAAGTAACGCACGGTAAATCATTCTACGTATATACGATTCAACTGACAGATGCCAACAGTGGGATCAAATATTCCATTGAGAGGAGATACAGTGAATTTAATTCGCTCCACAGAATGGTGAGTGATTTAACTGAATTATTTCATTTTTTACCACGCATAAACGAATTTTGTTGGAAATGCTGAGGCAAACCAGAATTTCAATTTTTGTGTGCAAAATTTTTCAGAGTTTTTTACGCTATTTTTGTTCTCCTTTGAATGAAAATATTGAACAAAGAACTTGAAAAATTTTAGCTTTTCGCTGGGAATTCGCTAGGTTTTTCTGTTAAATTTCCTCTTCATTCATTTATATTTTATTCAAACAATCTTATTCTGAATGATTTATTGATTTTTTCTATTTATTTATGTAATATCGAGATTTTTTACATTTATTTGAATATTCTCAATTCAATTATTCTTGAACAGCTGAGTTTTTTTTACGTTATTTTTGTTCTCCTTTGAATGAAAATATTGAACAAAGAATTTGAAAAATTTTAGCTCAAATTTCTGTAGAAACTATCCCCATAGAATTTTCTAAATTTCCTCTTCATTCATTTATATTTTATTCAAAAAATCTTATTCTGAATGATCCATTGATTTTTTCTATTTATTTATTCATTTATTTATGTAATATCGAGATTTTTTACATCAGTTTGAATATTCTCAATTCAATATCAGCCAAGATTTTTAAAAATTCTGTTATGTTGATACCTGTAACGTTTGAATCCGTAAAATGTGTAAATTATTCTTGAACAGCTGTCGTTTCAGTTGAAGAGGGACGGCGAAACGGCGGCTTTTCCGCCGAAAAGAGTGAGAAGTTGTCAGCCCAAAGTATTAGAACACAGGAGAGCTGCTCTCGAGGTTTACATTCAGAAAATGCTGCAGCTACCCAGTACTAGACAGCAAGTTCTCGAGTTCTTGGGGATCGAGGGAGCGAAGAGGACCGGCAGAATTCTTTTGAAGAGGTATCGACCGTTATTGAGAATTTTCCTCATATCACATCCAACTGCTATCAAATTTTATTCCGTATTCAACTGCAAAACACTTCCGCATTCCATTCAAAAGGTGCGGAAATTGTGGATGAGGAATTGTATGAGAGAATTGACTCTTTATTATTTTAATTTATTACTTTATTACTTTATTATTGATTCAAGATTGAAAGATCGAAATCGCTACCTTAGAGATTTATTTGAGTTGATGTGAGGAATGCAATTTTTCATGTGATGCAAATTACGAAATAACGAGTCCTTGACGGTTTCATTCGCAAGCGGATGCTCCAGCAATAAAAATTTAACTGCTAATAATGAATTCTCATTACTAGACTCGATGGGAAATCCGGCTCGACCTCAACCGCTGCCCATGTGTCCCCAGTGGTGGGCCATCATCCTGTGATAACATTCAAATGCGATCCGTACGTAACTGCTGAATCGCAAAGTGGTCTTCCCGACATTGTGACTCAGGGAGTTCTACTAGGTTTTTATAAATCTGAGAATTATTAGGTCCAATAACTCATTTTAACTCGTTATTTATACTTTCATACATTTCTCTTGTCTGTGATGAATTTGAATAAAGAATATTGGCTCTCCATTATTCGTTCATTTTCTACGTACGTTCATATGAATCGTAGACCCATTTTTTTAGGAAAATGGGGGAGAATAGGTATTAAACGAAGTGACTGAGGAGATAATTTTGATCAGGGTTGCCAGATTTTGGCGATTTATAGCCAAAACTTGTACAATTTTAAATGGGGGGACGTCACGATCTGGTAACACTGATTTTGATGACGATTATTTCAATAATCTTGGGCAGACAGGACGAAAATATTACGCAAAATTCTGGAACGAAGTGGTAAACTAGGATAAGTGCAAAAATGGAGATTTTTCAGGAGAGTTGAAAAATTTCACCACGTTTGACATTTGTCCCAGAAGGCAAGCGTGTTACCGAATGAGCCAAGGCAACTGGCTCAACTCCGTAAATAATTAGAGTAAAAAAACATGACAAGATTTTTATTATTTCAATTTCTTATTTACAGATTTAAAAAAAAATTAACTGTTTTCTGCATTTGCACATCAATTGGCTATCAATCGAGCAAATTCTCGATTTTTCGAGGGCGTTCGTAAATCCATACTGTATCAACGCCCTGACCAATCGTCTGGATTGGCTTCAGGTTTGGCAGGGGAAATCGACAGGCGATAATCGCGCTGTCGTTTTTCAATTCTGCGATGAATTTTCTCTCTATCTCTTCCATCTGAAAAATATTAAACCGACGTTATATAATATTATTGGCAGCATAACTCTACGATTATGTATCATTGCATTGTGAAAATCGAAATTATTGATGACAGAACTGTCTTTATTAGTCACCATTTGAGGAACTCCGAAAATAATGACATTGTCGTAGCTGCTCAGGTCGAATTTCAGAAGGTCTCGTCGATGGAACTCTGTTTTGGGTGATAGTCCTTGGAAATAGGCGGATAATCTCGAGTACATGACGAGCCATGGGTTCAACTCAACTCCGCAAGCTTGGAAGCCATTACTCGCTGCAGCAAAAACCTTCAAGAAAATTATGAATGTAATTCACAGTCTGTGTTTTACTCAGTCTCGTAATTTTTCATTCTCTATTCATATGGTATCAGTGGAATATTGTTATCATCTGCTATTGAGCCCTCTTTGCATTACAATTACAATCGAATTGTTGATTTTATTGATATGCATTGGAACCTTTTGGTTCATTCTGCGATGTTACATGTGTGTAAGTGAAGATTACAAAAAGAAAATTTAAAAAAATGCAGAAAAAAAAACAAAAAAAGAAAGTAATTATAATAATAATTATTATTATTGTTATTAAAACAAAATAACAATAATAATAATAATTGTTAATATAATAATTTATATTGTGTATATAATAATTGTTTTTTTGTTATTGTAATAATAATAATTATTATTATTATTATTATTATAACAATAATAAATCGAATTGTTAATTTGAATAAAAATTGAATTGTTATTGTTCAAATTAACAATTAAAAATGTTGAATTTAGTTCAGTGAATTTTTTAGATGAACGAGTGATCCTGTCTAACGAATTCCTTTGGCAAGACAAAATTATTATGAGTGGATTGAATCGATGAATTACTCACTAGTCTTCCGTCTCCACTCCCCAGATCAATGAGTCTTCCAGTTCGTCCTCTGAGTGCCTGCAGGACATTCTCGACTTGCTGAGAGGTTGCAGGCACGTATGGCAAGCATATCCTCCTCAGAGCAGGGCTCACGAAGGGAATGCATATGACACTAAGGGCCACTCCAATCCCCCCTGCAACGATATTTCCAGGGAGAATGTAAGGGGGACGTTAAGTCGAGATTGAAACTGCGTAACTGGCGAAATAATGGGTAGTTTGCGATTTCTATTCAATTTTTAGTAGTTTTTGGGAGATTCTGTCGAAAAATTCCCTAGTTTATCTGCAGTTTTTCAATAAAAATGTTCAATGGAAAATATTCTGTAGAAAAAATCAATAGGATTCTGTTTTTTATAGAAATTATTCTATTGAGATTTTTTCTGAAGAAATTCCTCGGCGCAAATGTCCAAATTTTTTTGTTTGATTTTTTTAATTAAAAGAGTAGATGAAGAGTAGAATTGAAAAAAACCTGGAAAATTCATATCGAATTTCTGTAGAAAATTTCTCAATAGAAAAAGTTGTAGAGAAAAATGAAATTCTATAGATTTGGCTATAAAATAACTTCTAGTGGAGATGTTTTATAAAAAAATACTCCAATTCTATAAAATCATTTCGAGTGGACATGTTTTATAAAAAAAATTCATAAAACTGTGGAATTCTCCAATAGAAAAATGAAATTCTACGTAGTTTGTCTATAAAATAATAAAACGTTGAATTGAATTTTAAAAAATCGTGGTCTCGTACCCGTAAGACTTATGAGGAATATTCCCGTCCTGGATGGTGCGCGCAGTGTCTCACTGGACATATTTTTGAAGGTTATACCCCTACCATTGACCTTATTCGAACCCCCAGGCCTCGAAGAATAATTTCAGAAGTGAAAACAACTTAAGCGAACGTTGTGATGCTGTTCACTGTCACACGTGATGAAAATACAATCCCATCCTCCTGTTGGATTCATTCGAGCGAATAAATTATGGAAGTCGTCGAGGGAGATCATTCAGACCATTTGGAACCTTTCCCGTGGACTTATTTGAACTTTACCGCTGATCTTGGGGGAAAAATAGGGGGATTGTAGGGCCCCTGGGGCTTGCCGAATCTTTTTTCAACTGCAATGTTGGCTGAACTGTGCGCAGTCTGAAGATAGGGGCAGAACAGAGGACTAGCCATTGTTATCAATTATTATCAAAGTGCAAGAGTTTGAGCGTGACAATTGAACATTTCTGGAGAATAACAGGTGCGTATTCACTATCCTCATTCCTGCGAGTCTCACTCTTGTCCTCATAACAAAAAAAAATTATTGAAAAGTGTCAACAACTGGAGATGAAGTGACTTTTCACAACATCTTTGATTGACGACTGGATATCCGGACGGTTAACTTGTGCTTTTATTTGCCTCCTGTCTTCTCTGGGCACTTGAAGACTCATATTCATCGACATTATTTTTTTAACATTGACAGAAAAATTTTTGAGGGGCGAATAGCGAGTCCATGACGGGCCCATCGTGGGAACTGTCACCATGAATGACATTTTTCGTACCTGCACACACACACATGCGAAGGATCACGTTCGTTAGCAGTAGGTAATTGTGTGACAATATAATCGGTACAACATTTAGAGTTTAATGTTTCTGTTTACAGTATTTAGGGGAGAGTGGGGTAAAATGGACACTTTAGACTTTTGTTTTAATTACTTATAAGTCAGAAACAAATTTATCAATTGAGCTCAGTTTAAGCTCGTCACAAAGGGAAAGAATTGTTCTTTGCAATGAAAAAAGAATTATTAAATTTTATCAACATTTCAACGCGTCAGTAACATTTTTAAAAAAGTTAAAAGTGTCCATTTTACCCCAACCTCCCCTAGAGTTTAATGTTAATGTTTAATGTTTGGATGCTATATCCTGGGGGGTGAGGGATTTGTATCGAGTGGATCTCTTCATTTGCCCTTTTTTCATTCATTTTGCCAACAATGAATAAAAAAAAAATTTTTTAGAGAAAAAACGTAGTTTCTCGGATTTTACAGTGAATAGATAAAATAAAATGAAGAAGTCTTGGTTGAATAAAGAGAATTGCGAGTTGAAATTTATAAAAAACTTGAACCTAGGGCTGACCATCTGAAGACTGTCCTGGGGCGAAGAATTTTTGTCGCAAAAATGGATTTAGTTGCTCCACAAAAATTTGTATTCTCTTGTTATTCGATTCTCTCATGACAGATGAATTAATTCTTGAATTAAATAATAATGATGGTGTTGTAGCAATCTCGTGACTTAGGGACAAAATATTTTCTGATTAAAACATGTTTGAGAAAACGAACAACTGAAATGTAAGAGAAAGTTTAGTAAAAAAACTAGCGTTTTCTCGGAAAAATTCTATTGGAATTCCTTTATTTTTGCGCCAATTCTATTAAAAATTATGCAACGTCCTCCCAGGTTTTGAATAGATATTCGTTTATAGAAAAATGTCAATAGAGATTAATAGATGTTAAGATTTTTCTATATAACTTATTCTTTGGGGATTTTTTCTGCAGCAATTCTTGGCCATGATCTTTCTAAATTTTTGTTCTTAGATTTTATTACGAGAAACAAACGAAAATACAGCGTGAAAAAACAAATAGAATTTTCTACCAAAATACCAACAAAACTTCAATAAAATTTCTGAAATTTTTTCATGTGTGTTTTTTTTCTCTCAACCTGATTACAATATTCTGTTGCAGCAGGTCACGAGATATCGGTGTTGACGCCCATTCATTCGTTCACCCCCTGAAATCTCATCCCTCCATGATCCAGTGATTGTCACCTCTGGATCGCCGACAGGGAGAAGAATAAAATCGAATTCATGGCTGACGACAATTACTACCAGCAGCCTTCGCCAAAAGCCGACGATGGCTTGGTCTTCCACAGCGATTATAGTGGGGCATTGACTGATGCAGACCAACGAATGGGGCTGAGGGATTCCAATGGCAATGGGAACCAAACTCAGCCAAAGGTAATGGATATCTTTCATCGACTGGCGGAGTGTCACATCGAGGGTATCGAATGCGCTGATCTCGATTTTGAATACGATGACACCGATACACATACCAATGAGATTGCTGAGTTGTACAGTTACACTGAGCAGTACGAGCTTGCGCTCAATCTCAAGGTAAATGAGGAATCGGAATTACAATCATAATCTTTTTAAATTTGATTTTCATTGATTTTTTTTTAATCTTAAAATTGACAATGGTTTGAGGAAATTTCCTCGGCTGTAATAATGTTTTTTACATTTTCTCTTAAAATCACTGATCGAGATAACCGGACTATTCTAACAGAGATAATTCAAATATTCACTGAATTCTCTTCATTATTTACAATAATAATTCCAATACTATTGTGTCAGTTGTTTTTTTCTCACGAAAAGAAAAGAGAATATCCAAATAGACTAAGCCCCAGAAAAATTCCATAGAATTCGATATTCCTATGGAATGTTTTTTATTCAACATTTGAATAGAATAGTCCAGTGAATTGATTGGATTTTTCTATAAAACGACTTCGCGCCTGAGGATTTAATGTAATGATCCCCCCATTACGCCCAGGCCTTCGAGGATCTGATGGAGAGTTACAAGCTCCGGCCATGGTGGCAGAACCTCCAACAACCCCAGCAAAAATCAGTGATCCTAAAGCTGCTGGACCAACTGGAAGTCTCGAACAAGCACTCGCGAATGAAAGCAGCCCGTTGCATTCTGTACCTAGTCCAGGGCTGTTGGGCAGAAGTCCAATCCGACAAGGAGCAGCAAGACTGGACACGAACGAACGTCATGATGCTGTACGAGGCCGGGATATTCTCAGCATTCGTCGAGCTCCTGAACATCGAGATAGAGAACAGTACAGCAGCGAGTTCAGCGATGAGAAAGCTAGCAGTTTCCCTCGCTGACTCCGTGGACCTTCGAATAATCCTCTCAGTCCTCTACATAATAACCGAGGTCATGAGAGAGGAGTCGAAGAGCCTGGAGTCGACGCCCTACAAGGACAACGTTCTGAACTTCAAAGAGGAGCTCATTCAAGTCTACGGTGAGGACCTGTTGATCGTGAAGCTCCTGGTGATGGTGACGTCCTTCTGCAGTGGTTCAGCCCCTCACTTTCCCATGAAGAAGGTCCTGCTGCTCCTCTGGAAGCTGATCCTGGTGTCACTGGGGGGAATCGACGAGTTGAGACGCTTGAAAAAATTGTACAGAGAGGAGGCAGGACTGGAGCCACCCCAGGAGGACACGATCGAGGTTGCCAGGACTATGAGAGCCAGTTCGCCACCGACGAGTGCTGCTGACTTACTGGAGACCCAGGCAATGGGCTCGCGGAAGGGCAACAGCAACAAACGTCCCTTCAGGGGGAGCTTGATGAAGCAGAGTTCACTGGACGAGCCAGCTCTGGCCATGGAGAATGAGTATGGCAAAGAGGGGGAGTCCGGGGGTAACGAGGGGGACGTCGAGGTTATAGAGTGCGTGAGGATGGTGCCAATGTCGCAGATTCCCATGTACTGTGAACGACAGCTGGAGCTGAGACCCAGCACTCCTGAATTAACGAAAACGAGGGGATTGCCGTGGACTCCCAAAGTCAGGCAGAAGGATGTCGCTGCCTTTCTCGACAGTTCGCGCCTCAAATTCGTGGGGTACAAGCTCGAGGGCGATGTTGAGAGCCTCGTGGGACTACCTCATCCCATTCATGAGGGGGTCAACACTCTTAAACGACACATGTACACGTCTCTTGCTGAGGTGCAGATCCAGAAGGAGGAGGAGATATCCAGGAATCCCATGAGCACTCCTGAACCCCCACTCAGGCAAACACCCACTGAGATACTCTATCAGGCCATTCTACCCAATCTTCCGCAGTATATGATTGCTCTTTTGAAGATTCTTCTCGCTGCTGCACCCACCAGCAAAGCCAAAACTGATAGCATCAATATTATGGCTGATGTTCTGCCGGAGGAAATGCCCATGACTGTTCTGCAGTCCATGAAACTCGGGATCGATGTCAATCGGCATAAGGAGATCATTGTCAAGGCTATTTCGGCTATTTTGCTGCTGCTGCTCAAGCACTTCAAGCTGAATCATATTTATCAGTTTGAGTTCATGTCGCAGCATCTCGTTTTTGCTAATTGTATACCACTTGTGCTGAAGTTTCTGAATCAGAATATTTTGGCGTATATTGAGGCCAAGAATATGTGAGTACTTTTTTGAAAATTTTATCTTGGGAATTTTTGGCTAGTTCGGTCGTGAAGGAATTTTCTTATTCGATGGAATGTTCTGAAGATTGTCTGCACGTTTTTTTTCTATAGAAATGTGCAATGGGAAATATTTTAGAGGAGAAATCAATAACATGCGAGTTTTCTGCGCGACAAATCGTCGTTTCGAATTTTCAGATTTTCGTTCTTTGATTTTTTCAAATGAAAATGAAAGAAAAACTGGAAAATTTGTGGAAAAATTGTCATCATTTCAGTTTATGCCATTATTATTAGTTTCTTCATTCATATTAATTTTTATTTGCAATTCCTTGTAATTAATTTTTACAGATTGACATTTATTTTTAATTGCAGGATCCCTATCCTAGATTTTCCAATTTGTGTGATTGGTGATCAACCAGAGTTGACTATTGAAAGCCTCGAGATTGGTGACAGCCAAACGTACTCGTGGAGAAATGTCTTTTCGTGTATCAATCTACTTCGCATTCTCAACAAATTAACGAAATGGAAACACAGCAGGATTATGGTAAATAATGATGGCCATTGTGATGATGATGAGGAGGGGTTTGATGCAAGAGAGTAATTGATGATTTTTTCCTTGCAGATGCTAGTCGTTTTCAAATCCGCTCCCATTCTGAAACGAACGCTGAAAGTTAGGAATGCCATGATGCAGCTTTACGTCTTGAAGTTGTTGAAGATGCAGACGAAGTATCTGGGGAGGCAGTGGCGTAAGACGAACATGAAGACCATTAGCGTTATTTACGCTAAAGTGAGACATCGGTTGAATGACGACTGGGCTTACGGAAATGGTAATTTTATTTATTAAATTTTTTGCTTGTTATTCTTGTCATTTCAATCTTTTCTCATTCTAAAGTGAAGTATTTTTAAAAAATGAACAAGTGAAAAATTCTTCGCTCATTTTTCGCTCACCCACAAGTCAGTGAAATAAATATGATAAAGAAATAATGCAGTAATATTATTCTGAATTCTCTCGTCTCGTTCAATTGATTAATCGTCATTTCTCATGCCACATTTAATTTTTAATTTCAGATCTCGAGGCAAGGCCGTGGGACTTCCAAGCCGAAGAGTGTGCCCTACGTGCCTGTGTCGATCAATTCAACAATCGACGATACTTAAACACGATAAAGGATGAACAATTGGACCCAGTGGACACGTCGATCGTCTCTGTACTGGGTGCCAACATCGAACTGACTGATGAATTTAAACAGCATTACGAATTATGGCTGCAGCAGGAAGTATTTCAGACCCAAATCGATTGGGATAAATTGCTGAAGATCGAGAATCATGATATTTAAAAATTTTCCAGACCAAAAATCTCGGTACTCTCAATTTCAATGATGAAATCACATTTTCTAAGGAGAAATTTACGTTTTGGAGATCCAATTCGGCATTAAAAATCATCAGTTCGATCACTATTACGACATTACACTCATTAAAATTGTCATTAACCCACACACGACTGGAAGGGAAATTAATTAGTCATCTCACAGTATTCATCAGACCTTTGAGTATAAATTTTCATTGTAATTTTTTCTGTCTCAGCAATAGCTGGATCTTTCTTAACATTTATTTTTTATTTTTGGAGATAATTTATGAGGAGTAGGTGAATGTGCTGATAGTCCTGTAGATTCTGATGTGGAGTATGACTGAATGTGCGCACATTCAGCCATATTTCCTCGTCACATAACGATTCCACGATCTTGTATGGAAGAAATTATTATCCAAGATCACTCATGCTGTAATTAATTCCATGTTAAGTACCCTCAATCAGTAAAATTGTAATTATTTCCTTCGAAAGAACGAGAACAACTTGATCAACTGAATTTGAATATAGTTTTAGGCAAAATGTGGCATAATAGCTGTTTTTAAAGAATTATAAATTACCAGTTTTGTTGAATTTTCAATGTAAATCTTCAATTACCGGTTATTCTTTGAGAAAAAAACATTTTGCAGAATTTAGTGGTGACACGGGCGTGAAAAAAATTAATTGAAAAACCTAGCGTTTTCTGTGAGAAATTCTATTGAATTTCTGTTGGAACTCCATAAGAATTCTTTTTCAGATGTTTATTAAGTTTTAATAAACAATTATTTTTAATAGAATTGATTGTAAAAACAAGTGGAATTTTTCAATTAAATTCTAATAGCAATTCAATAGAATTCCTTAGAGAAAGCGCTGGGTTTTTCTGTTAAATTTTTGCATTCGTGCATTGACTCAACGATCAAATAATTGCAAGATATAAATTTTTATTTAACCAACAATTCCCAACATCGAGCTGATTGTAGAAATATTCATAAAGAACAATCAATGATTTTAATAAATACATGAATTTGTATGTATAAAATGCGCGTGGAATGTAGCCCTTCAACGTCTCGAGGTAATTAAGTATGAAAAGTGATGAATAAAGGATGAAGTACTCAAGGATGATCAGGCCACTTGTAGGAACCGTAGTACATGAAGTTGTTCTTCTTAGCCATTTCATCTGCCTCTTTTGGTCCACGGGATTTGTGTTTGTAGGGGATTGGGGGAATTTTCTCGGCCTCGATGCGATGCAGGAGGGGAGTGAAGATTCTCCAGGCTTCCGACAGCTCGTCACTCCGGACGAAGTGCATTTGCGAGCCGCAGAAGACGTCCAGGATTAATCTCTCGTAGGCGTCAGGTAATTTCAGGTCCTGGAAGACATGGGAATTCATGATTTGATGGGGAAATTACACTGAGAATTGGGCAATTTACGGAGATATTTCGGGAAATGTTTCTCGTTTGGAAGTCTCGTCGAAACAAAAAAATCTCAAGTTAAAAATAAAAACTTGATTTTTCACAGACTAAAAATTGTTGAATCATCTCATAATGGCTTTTTCATTCATGTTCTCGACGCGAACAAATGTCTTTTAATGTTCTTCTCTGCAACCAGATGTTATCGAAATTCCACGGTTGAGAATCTATCCCTCGATTGAATTTCCTTTCTGTCAATTTTTTTTCTCGAGCCCTCACCTTGTAACGACGTCCGTAGGTGAGATCCAGCTCAGTTTCCTCCATGTCGAACGTAATACCAGGAGTTTTTGTCATCATTTTTATGTACAGGGCCTCCCCAGGCTGAACTCTGATGACTAACTCATTTCGTTTAGCTTTGCCGTCGAATATGTCACCAGGGACGTCCAGATACTGCACTCTGACTTCGGCTTTACGCTCGTTCAATGCTGAAATTTCACGCGAATATCCAGAATTTCACGAAAATATCCATGCACACATATTTAATGGATTTCTATTTTTTTACTGATATGTAGGAAACCTTACTGGGTTATTTCCAAAACGTAAACAAATTTACAATTTGAGAATAGCATAATGGATTAATATAACATAAAAAAAAATAAAGATTAAATTTGGACGATTAACATTCACAAGCAAAATTTTCGGACCTTTTCCACATTTAAGTATGAATGGCACTCCGTCCCATCTTTCGTTATTTATCTTCAAGGCGGCCATGGCGAACGTCGGGGTTGTGGAATTCGGTGGGACTGTTGGATCGTCTAGGTATCCCAGTCGTGCCTCGGGGTCTTCAGCCTCTGGATCACCAACATATTGCCCTAGGATGACGTCATCTAGCTCAAGGGGCTTGATGCACTTGAGGACTTTGACTTTTTCATTTCTGTTGGAATAAAATTCAAGTTTTCGGATTAAACGTAAATTTTAATTGTTCCAGTGTAACAATTCTTGAATTGTAACAATTCTCTACTTTTCCATTGAATACTTAAAATCTAGAAAATTTATTTTTTACAAAATATCTCAGTAGAATAATTTATATAAAATAACTAAATTCTACTGATTTTTTGAAATAACTTTCTCTATTGAGCCATTTTCTATACAAATTTCTCAACATTAATATTCCAAATTTAGTCCACTCTATTTTTCTTCTCTCATTCATTAAAATAAATTTTAAAAACTTCGGAAAAATTGAACCGATTGTTCGTAATAAAATAATTCGTTTATAAAAAATTGAATTCTATTGATTTTTTCAATAGAATTGCCAACGTTTTTCTGTAAAATTGTTTCGAACGTCTACAGAATAACGAATTACCAATTTTTTACAGACAATTCACTGGTAATAATCCCAAAATTACCTTATATCATTGGGACAGCAGGACGCTGGCTTCTCCATAGCCACAAGCGACATAATTTGCAGCAAGTGATTCTGCATAACATCTCGTATAATTCCGAACTCGTCGAAGTATCCGCCTCGCCCCTGAGTGCCGAACGGTTCCTTGAAGGTAATATGCACAGAGGCAATGTTATCTCTATTCCACGTTGGATTGAAAATTCTATTTCCAAACCTCAGTGTCATGAGATTCTGCACCATCTCCTTACCGAGGTAATGATCGATTCGGTACAGTTGCTCCTCGTGGAATAAACTGGCTAGGTGGTTGGAGAGACGCTCCGATGTTGGCGCGTCTCGACCGAAGGGTTTCTCGATTATTATTCTCGTCCAACCTCTGTTATTCAGGGAAATTCATTTGAGGAATTAATAATAACTGATGGGAAATTAATTGAATTAATTGGGTTTACAGGACATTTCCGAAATTCCTTTTCACATTTTTTTATTCTCCGATTATTGAGATAATTCAAAAATTGAAAGAAGGTGATGAATCAATGAGTTTAATTACGTTTTCGCCACATGTTTTGATAACTATGAGAAAATCTCAATAACGAGTGATCCTAGGGAGAAATACCATAAAACCATTTTTGTAAATGAGAAAATTTCCTACAAAAAAAGTCTTTTGACATTTTGCCCTAGACCCGCTCATTCCCAAGATAATTCAACAATTGAATTATTTTTTTTCTAATTTTTTTTCCTTTTGTATAAACTTTCTGGGTTTGTGCTGAATAAAAGAAGGAATTGAATAGGGGACTTCCAACTTACTTTTGGGCCATGCAAGTATTCCTGATGTGCACGGTAACGGGCTCGAAGACGCTTGGCGGCAGAGCCAGGTAAAACAAGCGATTCGCTTCGCTCCCAATCTCACATTTCTCCAATTCTCTATTCAAAGCAGCAAAGTCCTCTTCGGAGTCGTAGGACCCTGCGGTGTAGTAATTCAACTGCCAGAACTTCTCGTATCTGTCTTCCTCCCCAGGTTTCACCTTCATGTACTGGTGGCACTTGTCACGCAACTCTTTGAGGGTCAATTTGCTCCTGGCGTAGCCGAAGAATGTCGTCGTTTTAGGGAGGAGATTGTCGCGGAAGAGCCACCAGAGGGTGGGATAAATCTTCTTCTTCGCTAAGTCTCCCTGGGAAATACAGAGAATATGCCCAAAATTCCGTTGTGTGTCTATTGAACTCATATTGAAAATTCTGTTCAAGAATTTGAGAGATTTACGGGGAATTTTGTGACAGAAAATGTGCAGTAGAAATTATTTAATTGAAAAAATCTAAAATTTCTCTATTTTTCTTCTCTTTTCCTTAGAAAAATCGAACGAAAAAACTTGGAGAAATTAATGGAAAATCAATCAAATAAATTCGGCAGAAAAATAGAATTCCATTAGTTTTTTCTTAGAATATCTTTCATTAAGAAAAGGAGATAAATTGCGGAATTCTTCAATAGAATTGGTCACAACTAATGGAAAGTTCAATAGAAATTCAATAGAATTTCTTAATTAGTCCTCAAAAAAAACTTGTACTTCTATCGAAAATTCTATAATTTTTTTTGAAGACATCTTATGGAAAAAATTAATGAAATTCGATTTTTCTGTACAATTTATTCTACTGACATCATTTGCACAGAAGTTCCTTGTCTTAAATACTTTACTTACATCTTTATTGTCAATTTTTTTACATAAAATGCCCAATTATCATTGAAAAAAAAATTATTCAACTGGAAAACTCCGCTAAGAAAATTATTTAATTGAAAAACTCCGCAAAATTTAATTGAGAAATTTTCCACAGAAATTCCTCGACCTGAATTTTTCAAGTTCTTCCACTCCATTTTTCCTCTTTTTTATGACACAAATCGAACAAAAAAATTTGCAAAATTGAGTAAATTCAATAAAAATGCATCAAAATTTTCCAGTAGGTTCTCATGAAAAATTGTTCCATGTCTTAAAAAAATCTGAAGTCCCAGTGAAACTGACATATTCCCTTTCACCACTTAACCAGGAATTTATTTATTCGATACTAACTGACGCTCCAAGTGTGATAAATGTGTGAGGAGTGTGACCGTAGAAATGGGTGCCCTCAAGCCTGTCCATTTCATCTCGCTTGAGGGACTGCCTGATGATTTGAAGGCTCTCCTCCGTGGAGGCTCCTTGAAACAAAAATTAATCATTCGAGGCGTGAATTTTTACAGCAGGAATTCCTAGCCATTACGGGGAGACATTACTGAGTTCCGCAGGTGCAATTGAAAAATAAGTGTCATGGGTTTACTTCCAGTGAGGTGAGAGGGGCCGAGGTAAAACAGACAATTTCAAAACGAAGTTATTGATTGCACTCAGCAGAAAAGAGAAGAATTGCTCTTTCGGTGCAGAAAATTACCCCTTTTCATTAACAATTAAATAAGTAATTGGGATTTTCATAAATTGTGTGATTTTTCTGTGAATAATTCGTTTTTACTAGATGAATCATTCATCATTTCATCCTCAATTTTTTTAAATTCTTCCCGATTATTTAAATGTTAATATTTTTCAAATAATAATTGAATGAGTAATTGATATTATAACAACGTCAAAAGTCTGTTTCATTTGTTAAAAACACGATTTTTCATTCTGGAAAAATGTGTGAGCACTATACGATGAATCGAGCTTAAAATTAGTCAATATTTTTTGAATTTCCTAGGCAAATGGAAATAATTGATGGGAAATTAATTAATTGGGTTTACAGGACATTTCCGGAATTTCTTTTCACATTTTTTTATTCTCCGATTATTAAGATAATTCAAAAATTGAAAGAATGTGATAAATCAATGAGTTTAATTACGTTTTCACCACATGTTTTGATAACTATGAGAAAATCTCAATAACCAGTGATCCTAGGGAAAAATACCATAAAACCATTTTTGTCGGTGACAAAATTTCCTACAAAAAAAGTCTTTTGACATTTTACCCTAGACCCGCTCATTCCCAAGATAATTCAACAATTGTATAATTTTTTTTCTAATTTCTTTTTCTTTTGTATAAACTTTCTGGGTTTGTGCTGCATAAAAGAAGGAATTGAATAGGGGACTTTGGAATGGAAATAATTGATAACATGAATTCATTCAGGCAAATTATACGTGACAATTCGTTTTTACCACATGAATTCATCATTTTATTCTCATATTTTTATTCATTCTCAATTTTTTCTCTTCTCTAAATTTCTTATTTCATTTGATTCTATTTTTTCAGGATCGAAGAGCGATCCTAATTTTAATCTATAACAGTGCCTTAAACATTCCGTTTAATTTGGCGCTTGATTTGTCCACCGGTACTCGCACAACATTTGTCTAGACTCAGAAATCGGTTTCAATCATTATCCAAAACCGCATAGAATAGCCCTTGCGTTTTATTTTTTAATATCAAACTTTTGGAACTCAGTCGTCTCCCCTGGAGAATAATCCTCGTATTCCCAGTGGAGAACTCACTCTGCAATCTCCCACTCATCGTTTATAACTGACAATTCCACACGCTAGATCAATATACGTCCGCAACGAATAGAGGATTTTAATTGACGCGAGTTAGAGCTCGTCAAGGCGCTTGAATCATTTCGCTGTCAATTTTACTTGTTGACACCGCGACGAGAGAATTCGCACTGAGACCTGGGACATCGTCGAACAACGTCGAGTTGTTGCTCGATCTCCGGGAAAAATCACACGATAAGCTTAAATACTTGTAAAAATTCCGGTCTGCAGATTGCAGGAGGAGTGGAGATAGCGCATGGGGAAGTGGCAGCTCGGAAAAACTGAATTTTTCGTTGTGAGAGGATAAGAATGTGAGAAATTAATTGAAAAAAGGATTGATTAATTTTAGGGAATCCACGCACGAAAAAATTCAGTAGAAAACGAGATTGCGAATTCGCTGGAAAATTCTATAGGAATTCTGTGGGGTTTCTATAACATTTATATTGGAATTCTATTTATTTTTTGCGTCACTTCTATAACAATTATGCAACTTCTATAAAAATCCTTGGGAATGATTCCTCGAAGTTTTTTTTTATTTTATAACGAGAGACAAATAAAAATACAGCGAAAAAAGAATAGGAAAATTTGGGCTCTAGAATTTCGATAGAAAAGTAAAAATCTGTTGAATTTTTTCTATCGAATATCTCTCAACAAATATGTTGTTAAATACAAGCCATGTAACTAGGAATGACTGCTTATTATAAAATTTTTGCGAAAAAAATAAATCATGCTAATCATGATAATAATGTTGATGCGTGGAATTCCATCAACATTTCAACCCCTCATTAACATTTGAAAAAAAGTCAAAAGTGTCCGTTTTACCCCAACCTCCCCTAAACTATCGAAAAGGATCTTACGAAAATTTTGCTATCTTCCTTAAATTCCGAGTTATTCAACAAAAACTCAACTGGGGGTTGAGTCGACTTAGGCCGATTGACCACTTCACTGCTGAATTCCCCCTCTCGCATTCCTCAGAATGAAAATCCCCAAATATTCACCGCAAGTGCAATAAAAACCGTAAAATAACAACCATTCGAGAATACCCGTACGGAAAACGGAATATATGTGAAATATATGTCAATTATGCGCACAAATATTTCGGCGAAAAATGCAATACATCAGATATATGCGAGCACATATATATTACCCACATATATTCGACATAGATCTGACATATATGTAAGATATATTTTCGGCAAAAAATGCAACATGTCACGTATAATTATTTGCATATAATTTTTTCCCTGAGGGTAGATTAATCCATAAATCCACAAACCTGGTGGAGCCAAAGATTTTCCCTTGGAGGTAGCCATTCTCGCTATTATCAATGGAACTGGAGCCACTCGCGTCACGATTCCCCGAAATTCTATTGAATCACGACAATAGCCAATGAATGAGGAAATTCGATTATCCGATGCGCGCTAGACCCGGAAGATCGTGCTACTGAAGAGAAAAAGAAAAACTTTGTGGTCCGATCCCCTCGATACTCTTCAAAAGAGAATTCACAGGTAGCCAATAGGAGCGAATGCGTGGAACACGTGTCTGAGGAGCGTTTCTCCAGGTGGGGAGCGAGTTCCTGAGAGTATCTTTTCGTAGATAATAATAGGGAGTTGCTCATGTACGGAATAACATCCCAGTCTCAATTAACAGAAGATTGCGTAAGTCGGTTTTTCAAACCATCGGCTTGTGATCATTAAATTCAATTGGAGGACTCCGCACGCAGTCAATAATTTACCGGTAAATTTCGGGATATTAGGGGAGGTTGGGGTAAAATGGACACTTTTGACTTTTTTAAAAATATTAGTGACGGGTTGAAATGTTGATGAAATATAAACTTTTTTTTTTCAATACAAAGAACAATTCTTTCCCTTGTGATCAGCCTAAATTGAGCTCAACTGATAAATTTGTTTCTGAGTTATGAATATTTTTAAAAAAGTCTAAAGTGTCCATTTTACCCTACTCTCCCCTACCGTCTTGCGGGGGACTTTTAGATGGCATTCGTAAAAATTGTTCCCTGGGGCAGCTCAATGTACATTCGATTAGAAAATATCCGAAACAGAAATTGTTTTGTGGGAGCAATCAGTGGTATTTGGTAGTAGGAGATATTTTCCCCGGACAAAATTTCCCTGGACTCAATTTCCCCGAAAAAAAATTCCTCGAACATAATTTCCTTTTTTAATATATGTACAGAGAAAAGACAAAAAATTGTCACTCAGCAGTTTTGCAAGAAATTCACAGTCTTTAATAAACAATAAGAATTCACACTTAATAACATGCATCAAACCAATGAACATTGACTCAAACTAATTGCTTAATATATGAGTCCAAATGCTTGCTTGTTTAATAGTTCATAACATTTGCGATGTTCTTCAAATAGTCATTTGTATTTTCCACGTTATAAGTGGGAGTGAGAGTGGGGGAATTTTTTTCGGGGAAATTTTGTCCGGGAGAATTTTTTTTCCAGAAAATTCGGTCTCGGGGAAAAGGTTCCTAATTCGTGGTATTTTAGTTGGAGAAAATGGAAGAAATTGTGGAGAAATATGGAATTCTAGTGATTTTTTTCTAGAGAATATTTCGCATTGAATATTTGTATTAAAAAAAATGCACGGGAAAGTTTTATGGAAAATTTACTATCAAATTGAGAATTCTATTGGATTTCTATTGAACTTCTATTGAAGAATTCCGCAGTTTTCTGCCTGTTTTTCTGTAGAAAATGTTTACAGATAAATATTTATGTAAAAAAAATTATAAATGTTTTCCTATAAAAAATGTTTAGTATTTTAAAGAAAACAGTGGAATTCCTTCCTTCTATGCGACTTTCCTCTCTTTCCACCAAACAAATCAAACAGTGAAAACTTCTGAAATTTCACCCGAAGAATTGTTATATAAAAAAAACTCAATAGAATACAATAGAGTAGAATAGATAGTTGCACAAAAAATTGAATTCTTTTGAATCGAAACTATGCAAAGAAATTCCTAATGATTCACATTCATTCGCTGCATCACTCGTATCGGCAACGGCTGTTCCTCAAATGATTTTCGACGAAAGAAAGTTCCGATAAATATCAATCAATATAAATGGATCTCCGTTGACCTCCAGGCGGAAGCAAGTAAAGACGTGAATGTGACCCTCTCTCGTATACGATATACATTCATGAACCACGTGGATGCGTCATTCGACGGACGTTTCCCCAGCAGAATGGCGTGATGCTCTGTGACATAACTCATATTCATATGCTCCAATCATAAACTGATGTTAACTATAGTTTTTACGTATCTCTGATAGAATTGCTGATCACTATGGGATGATGGGAGGGCGGGGCGTCAATGATTTTTCTAATGGTCACAATCTGCTGGGAAATCATGGCATTGGGTTGAACTTGATCGCATTTCAGAGCTTGATAAGGGGTCGGCATAAAAATGTGACCAGCACAATGTAAATTCGATTGATAACAAAATTATTCTAATGCGACTATTTCAATTCATCTTCTACATTTTTCGGGATTCATCCACAGATGAATGATTTTTTTTTTAGGTTTTCTCATTAGAATTTCATTTCAGATTTTGTTTTCCTCTATTCTTTTCTCTCATTTTTATTTGTATCGACGTTTAATTTCTTTACATCCCAATTTATCTTAATAAACGCCTATTTTATTATACTCACGCGTTTCAGTATTTTATTCCTGCGGAACAAAAATTTTGAAGAATGTGGCATAATACGAGGTAAATGTTGAAAGAATGAGAAAAATTTGCTCGAATTTTCCTAATTTTAATTCTCGTATTGAATTGAAATTTGATTTTCCATTAAATTCCGCAAAAATTCCATAACACGGAATTCCCATAGTATTATATTACGAATATCTATTTTTCCCTTTCGAATACATTCATTTCTTATCCCAACCCTCTTCTGAAGTTAATGTTACTTTTGTTTTCCTTTATTTTTTTCTCTCCTTTTTATTTAATTGTATCGAAGTCTAATTTCTTTACATCCCAATTCACCTATTTCATTATACTCACGCGTTTCAGTATATTTTATTGCTGCGTAGCAAAAATGTTGAAGAATGTGATTTATTGAGAGATAAATGTTGAACGAACGAGCAAAATTTGCTCCTATTTTCCTAATTTAAATTCTCCTGTTGAATTGACATTTGATTTTCCATTGAGTTCCCCAAAAATCCCATAACCCGGAATTCCAATAGTATTTTACTGCTGCGTAGCAAAAAAGTTTAAGAATGTGATTTAATAAGAGATGAATGTTGAACGAATGAGCAAAATTTGCTCCTATTTTCCTAATTTAAATTCTCCTGTTGAATTGACATTTGATTTTCCATTGAGTTCCCCAAAAATCCCCTAATCCGGAATTCCAATAGTATTTTACTGCTGCGTAGCAAAAAAATTTAAGAATGCGGTATAATAAGAAGTAAATGTTGAAAGAAGGAGAAAACGCTGTCAGCGATAATTGCGTCACGTGCGCACCTTATGAATTTCGAAAAAGAAGAAAAGGTAAATTGTCGTCAATCGCCGATTGTCATGACACGCATTATTTTTATTCCGTCAGTGCATTAGACATCACTCATATCTGTGTAGATTGATTACCAGAAATAAGTTGTAATCATGTCGCATTTATTCTTCAATTATGAGCAAATATTGAACTTACGGCGTTGCGGTTTAGCCATTGTCGAGTCATCTGTTGAGTCATGCATTTTAAGGAGAGAAGGAATTCCAATCGACTCGGCGGAATATCTCGATGAGTTGATTCGCTGGATGTAGATTTATCTGGAAATAACGGGTTGCGAAATGGCAGCTACTAGAATTTTTGGGAATTATCTATTATTGAATTAGAGCGTGGAGGGAATACAACGAAGAATTCACATTCTGCACTCTACTGGATAGAGGCGTCGCCGTGTGTTATATACAACATAGTGGGGAACCTCTTAGTACATAATAAATTGTACTTTCGCTTTTGTCGCGGAGTGGGGGCTCAGATTAACTTCACGTCATTCGAGAGCGAAGCGAGCGAATGTGTCATGGAGGAGATGATATCGGTAAAGAAGTCAATTTTTCTAGTATTTTAGAGTCCACGGGAAATAGAAAAAATGTTCACGAAAATTTGTTTTATTCGAGCGAAGTGAGCGAATGTGTCAGATGCCGTGGAGCAGAAAATATCTGCAAAAGGTAAATTTTTCTCGTATTTTAAGCTTGGCTAAATATCCTAAAGTCCAATGGAAATGGACAAATTTTCACGCGAATCTACAGAGCGAAGTGAGCGAATGTGACCGGTGTTGCGGAGTAAATGACATTACCTGCAAACAGTTCAATTTTTTTCGTATTTTAGATTTTGCTAAATATCCCAGAGCCCAAGGGAATTTAAAAATTAGCATAGGAATCTGTTTTGCAGAGCGAAGTGAGCAAATGTGTCACGTTTCATGGAGTAGATAATATTATCTGCAAAAAGATAAATTTTTGTGCTATTCTAGCTTTCGCTAAATATCCCTGAATTTAAAAAAAAGCAAAATTTTCATAAGAATTGTTTTTAGGAGCGTAATGAGCAAAATGAGCGTGCGAATGAAATATCACGGAATAGTTCAATCTATTAAAATTCAAGGGAAATTGTAAAAGAGACGTCATGTCATTGGCGGTCACGTGACCGTTATATAACGGATCGTGACGCATTTCCATGTCCATGGAAATTTCCACATATCGAGCGGTCAAATGACCGAGGAACCCATGCACCCGGCAGAGGGCTACGCGTTACAAAACCTGTACTCCGATACTTCCATCAACAAAAATCCACGTGATTTACGACCGAAGTTAACCTCGAAATCACGTCGCGATGTAAATACAGAATTGGAGAAAGGAGAAACAAGACGGAATAGGATAAAATTTCTACCGGTGTGTCCGTAGTGGCTGGTAAGTTTTAATTAAATGAGAATATATTCTACGGAAACAGGTGATTGATCAAATATTCCGAGTGAAGAGATCTTGATAATTTTAGTATGTGAATTCAACGAAATTCAGAACTTCAAATTTCTTCAGGGATGAGGAATAATCTGGGTGTCAATTTCATAAATGTTTTCGCAAGTTATTATTTTATATATTATATTATATAATAAGATAGAGTAAATGGAATTGATTATAATTGCAATATAATTCAAATATCAGATCGAATTATTCAAATGGGTTTTTCGTCAAATGGAGTCCCAGTGGCTTCTTCTCACCATTGTTAAAACTGATATGATATTATCATTAGGGGTTGGGGTAAAACGGAGACTTGACTTTTTTTTAAATATTATGAGGGGTTGAAATGTTGATGAAATTCAATAATTTTTTTTTTCAATACAAAGAATAATTCTTTCCCTTTGAGACGAGCCTAAATTGACCTCAATTGATAAATTTGTTTTTCAGTTATGAATAATTTTAAAAAAGTCTAAAGTGTCCATTTTACCCCACCCTCTCCTACTCTTTATACATTATTTTATATGAGAGCACAAGTGAATAAACTATTCTATTCTATTCTTAATTTAAAAGGAAGATGCGGTCCAGCATCATATTCATGAAATGGGCTAGGTCTCCCCAGAATGAGAACAAAGTGCCTTTTCAAGAGATTCTACCGTTGAGATTGAGAAATCGTGTCACTGGAAAGGGCACTCGAACTCGTGGTAAGAGTCGACAGTTGTTTTTCAAATGCAGTTAAAAATAGCATTCAATAGAAAAATTCTACCAAAAAATTTGATAAGCTTTGCAAATTCTTATGCAATAGAAATTAACAAAAAATGGATAGAATTTACGAAAAAATGCATTGGAATTTTTTATTCAATTTTTTCATTCGTGCAATTTTTCTCTTCATCATTAATATTTTATTCAGAGCAGGGATGTCTCCAAGAAGCCACTCTGCTTCTCTCCTGTCTCGTAAAACATAACTACGAAAACAAAACGTGCACGAAAGAGACCGAGAATTTCCAGAGCTGTTACGAAACATACCTGAAGAACAAANAGAAACTCTTGTAGAGCAATGTGAAATATAAAACTTGAAATAATGAGTGATTTTCGTTTCTTCTTCTCGAATGGGTGAATAAAAAGCCTGAATTCTCCTGTGATTGCAAATATATTAAATTTCCATTAAAATTTATTTACAAAATTCATTTACAAAATTCTGAGTCGTCCTCAGTCTTCTTCAGTTCGCTCTCACTTCTCGTGGGAATGCAAAATTTACAAATTCTTCTTTCTGAGTCAGAAAGTCATGTGGAATGTCCTGGGGCTGTACTGATTATTCAGGAATTTTTAGTTCATTTTTATTCATTCGAGCTTCTTGCAGCTTCTTCACAGCCAGTCTTGTTGTGTATCCTGTATAGAACTTGGAAAATTGCTATAAATTTTTCTATAGAAAAAAAATCTATAAACTTCTCCTTTCCCATACACCTCATTCTATTGAGATGTTTTCTATAGAAATTTCTCTACTCAAATTTTCCAAGTTTTCCAGGAAAAATAGAGTGGAAAAAAATATAACTGGAAAATTCCTATAAAACTTGGAAAATTGCTATAAATTTTTCTATAGAAAAAAAAAATCAATAGACTTCTACTTTTCCATACACCTCATTCTATTGAGATGTTTTCTATAGAAATTTCTCTACTCAAATTTTCCAAGTTTTCCAGGAAAAATAGAGTGGAAAAAAATATAACTGGAAAATTCCTATAAAACTTGGAAAATTGCTATAAATTTTTCTATAGAAAAAAAAAATCAATAGACTTCTACTTTTCCATACACCTCATTCTATTGAGATGTTTTCTATAGAAATTTCTCTACTCAAGTTTTCCCGAAAAAATCGAGTGGAAAAAAGCTATAACTGAAAAATTCCTATAGAACTTGGAAAATAGCTATAAATTTTTCTATACAAAAAATCAATAGACATCTTTTCCATAGACCCCATTCTACTGAGACATTTCCTACAGAATCGCCGAAAAACCAATATAATTTTCCCTTGAATTCGCATTTTCCAACAAAATTTTCCGTCGAAAAGATGAACTCGTGACTCTCATTGTCCCATGTTCCCGGTCTAAAAAATCCCGGCAAATACCCCCGTTGCAAAAATGACCGCAATTATTCCCCCTCACCAAACCCCGAAAAATCTCCCCTCTACACACTATCCACTCAATGGTTCAGCGCGCTGTGAATTAAAATGGCTCCTAGGTATCGGCCATGATGGCGTTGAAGCACAGGGATAGTCTAACGCAAACATGTACTCGCAGTGAAATAAACCAATTGTACCAAGTGCATGAGTGTTAAGGGTGTATCAATAATGCTAATCATTGTACAACGATGAGACCTTGATAAATACCATCGTGGTGGGCAGTTGTGGGGCCTTTTGTGGGACCCCGATACGAGCCCCACGTTGAATAAGAAAAAATAAAAAGAAACACAAGACGGAGGATCCAGTGAAGCCGAGAGAGAGAGAGCGAGAGAGAGAGAGACAGAGAGGGCGTTCGAGTGAGAGAGCTATACACGAGATACACGAATTTGCAGTGAGTGCGATAGTGACATTCACTACATACAAGTACGCCCAGAGTCTCTTGGCAGTCGTGCATACACAATACATATAATACATAGTACATAGGTTGTACATATATACAATGTCCCTGTATACACGTGAACATCGTGGACACATGGATTTGTGACCAGTGACTATGTACACCGTGTCCATGCATATACGTACACACATGTGTAATATATATTTATGTGTAAATAATTCAAAATTTTATGAAAAATATATACGATTGTTGTAGAGTGGCTACATGCTCGAGCAAGTGCAGACACATTCCCAGGGAACTCTGTATTTTTTTCTCTCGTTCGTAAATACGAGTGAGTGAGTGGTGTTTTTTTTTCCTCCCTCGTGCGGTGGGTGAACACATGGGGAGTTTATGAATTAATAGCAGTGATTTTTACACTTCTGCTCTGCTCTGTGGGGATGGTATTCACGAGGGCCTTGTGGACATCCTGACTCGTGAGACAGTGATTTTGAGGTTATGTGAGACTTTTTTTGTGGAGAATGTGGTTATTCAGTGAGATATTGATTCGAGAGGAGTTGAAGTGATTATTGGGAACATCTGTGATTCTATGGGGTCGGGGAGTGCTTTTTGAGGGGTTTTTTGGGGTTAATAAGTGAGGATGAGCAAACTGTCATTCAGGGCTAGGGCCCTGGACGCCTCCAAGCCCATGCCTATTTATATGGCTGAGGAGCTGCCTGATCTACCGGATTACTCGGCGATTAATCGGGCTGTTCCACAGATGCCCAGTGGCATGACCAAGGAGGAGGAATGCGTGAGTTTTCGGGGGTTTTTACGGGGGGAGATTGGGATCAGGCATGCGAGCATGTTTTTACAGTCGTCCGCCATTTTGGAATTGTGCATGATCTGGAGGGATTTGTAAACAAGAGGGTGATGGAGGTTTTGGGGGGGTGGGATTTTTTTTTCGGGGGAGGCCATCGTCAGGAGATGATTCGGAATTTTTTTTGGGTTCTGGTCTGAATTAGGCTGTCGTTTTGGCAGCGAGGGCTCTTTGGCGAGGTGTTGATGATGATGAGATTGAGGGAATACAGTTTTGGTCGCAGGGTTGGGGGGATTTAGGGAGAAAATTAGTTGGGGATTGAGGATTGTTTATATTGGGTAGATAGAGATGAATTTATTGAGGCGATTTTTATTTCTTACTGGTTGTAATAGGAAAGGTAGAACCAAATCTTGAGATAATTTAGTCTTTTTGAAATTGTACGTGATCTGGGGGCATTTGGGGGAGTTTTTGGGGTTGAGGGGGGGATTATTTATTGGAGAGAATTTTTTTCGGGGGAGTCTATCGTCGTGAGACGATTCTGCATTTTTTTTAGCTCTTGGTCTGATGCTGATGATGTTGATTTGAGGGAATCCAGTTTTGGTCGCAGGGTTGGGGGGATTTAGGGAGAAAATTAGTTGGGAATTGAGGATTGTTTATATTGGGTAGATAGAGATGAATTTATTGAGGTGATTTTTATTTCTTACTGGTTGTAATAGGAAAGGTAGAACCAAATCTTGAGATAATTTAGTCTTTTTGAAATTGTACGTGATCTGGGGGCATTTGGGGGAGTTTTTGGGGTTGAGGGGGGGATTATTTATTGGAGAGAATTTTTTTCGGGGGAGTCTATCGTCGTGAGACGATTCTGCATTTTTTTTAGCTCTTGGTCTGATGCTGATGATGTTGATTTGAGGGAATACAGTTTTGGTCGCAGGGTTGGGGGGATTTAGGGAGAAAATTAGTTGGGGATTGAGGATTGTTTATATTGGGTAGATAGAGATGAATTTCGTTAGACAATTATTATTCCTTATTAGTTATAATAAAAAAGATGGGACAAAATCTTGAGACAATTGAGTCTTTTCTGGAATCGTACGTGATATTAGGAGATTTGGGAATATTTAAGGGGGTTTTTTGTTGGTTTTTGGGGTTGAGGGAAGGCTGTTGACGTTGACAATTGTTACGGGAGAATTCTTTAGTGGAGAGAATTTTTTTCGGAATTTTTCTTTCGGGGGAGTTAATCGTCATGAGACGATTCTGAATTTTTTTTAGGTCTTGCCCTGAATTATGTTCTCATGGTTGGAAGGATATGGGATTTATAAAAAAAATTACCTCGAGTTTTAGGGATTGTTTGCATTATGAAGACAGAGACGAATGCCTTCATGTGTCTTCTGTTCATTCCAATCATTTGTTTTTTCTTTGTTACAGAGTCAATTCTTTGTTACAGAGAATTTTTTCCTCACTTGTGTCAATCGTCATGTGACGATTTTCCAACTGTGTAATCTTCATTGTGACTAATCCCCAGATTTTCTCCATTTTTTTAAATCAAAAATTTCCTTAATGACGATGTTAGTCTGAATTTCTGAATTGGGATGAATCGTATAAGCTATACAGTTGGGCCGTGAGAATGTTTACATCACTGGAGCATATCCCTGGAGCTTTAGAAATTGTTTACGTTGGAAATATGAATTAATACCTTCACCTTTCGTTTTCTCATTTCAACAATTTATTCATGATAAATGAGTTGTTTCTGTGAGGAACACAGAATTAACAGTTGAATTTAGTTATGATTTTATGAATCATACAGTCCTGCATGAAAATTGCTCCTCATTTTTCCCAATCACTGCATTGTTATGTTTTTTATCATATTTATCATGTTTTTATTCACTTTTTATTCTTTACTGCAAGAGAGAGAATTGAAGTGAGAATTTTTTAAAGAAGAAGTGAGAATTTTTTTAGTTTTATTAATCGCCATGTGACGATTTTCCAACTGTACAATCTTCATTCCGAAAAATACCTAGACGTTTTAATTTTTTCATGAAAAAATTCCGTAATGACGATGTTGTTTCGAATTTGTGGATTTGAATGAGTCATAGGGAGCGATACAGTGAATGTTTACATTACTGCAGCATATCCCTGGAGCTTTAGAAATTGTTTACGTTGTGAGACATGAATTAATACCTTCACGTTTCGTCCTCTCATTTCCCCCGTGCGTTTAATCTAAAAATCTTGTATAAATACACGTTCCAGGCAGACCACTAGAGCATGATGAATGAATCGTTTCTGAGATCAACGCGGAATTAACAGTTGAATTTAGGATTCATCTGGTTTTGTTATCAAATTAAAGCGTTAAAAACCGCTGAATCATACACTCCTGCATGACAATTGCTCCTCATTTTTCCCAACCACTGGATTATTATGTTTTCTAATCATGTTTTATCACATCTTTATCAGTTCTTTTTACTGAAAACATTAATCGAGAATTCCCCCGCGTTTATCGAGGAAATTTTTGACGATTTCAACGCGAAGATATTGATAATGACAATTGCCCTTCATAAAATGGGAAAACAGAGAGGCATGCTCGCTTGTAACGCTTTATAATCTCCTATAATACAATAACAATTGTTGGGAGGGAAGACTCACACGGAAAAATTTATATTTTGAAAAATATATAGAAAAATATTTTAAATGGGCCCAATTTATATAAAAAATATATATAAAATATGTGGTTTATTCATATTTTTGATATAAATAAAAAAGAAATTAATAAAGTTATAAAGTTATTTATAAATTTATAAAATTTTGTATTGGGTATTATTTATTTTAAATAAATATATAAAACATGTGGTTTATATATATTTTTTATATGTTCTTTATAAATTTGAAAAATATAGGGAATTATATGCGGCCATATTTTGCACTTTTTAAATATATTTTTTGATGGGGGGAGAATTCTTTATTGCGGAAATTTTTTTTTTTTCATTTACGTCAATAGCCACGTGACGAAAAAAAATAGAAATTAGAAATTAATCCCCTGTAATACAAATATAACGAATTAATCGAGTACCTGCTAACCACAGGAGCATCATCTCCAACGGGCAATATGCGCGGGATTAATAATCCCTACTCCAGAGGTCACCGACTTGACGGATGTGGAGGCATACGACAAGATTTACCCGGCTGATTATAAATTACCTCGGCAGTTGATTCACATGCAGCGTAAGTGAATTTCAGTGCTTGAAATCGCGAATGAAATCGATATAAGGAATTTTTAAAACGGGAAATTCAACATAAAAATGTTGCATTATCACCGTAATTGGTGGTTTTGGGGGAAAATTTCAGAAGATAATTTCGTCGATGGTAATTTCGACTGGTATTATTGGTTTTTAAGATGAATCGATAATTATTAAGCAGCGATTTGTCAATTTCATAAGAAAGTTGTTCCTGGGATGACTCAGAATTTGTCAAATAAAATATCCGAAGATATTTTTTAACGACATTTTTCAATTTTACAAAAGGATAAAAAATTTTTTAGCAATTTATTTTGTTAGAAATTTATCGTGTTAACATTTCAGTGTTTTTATCATTTTTATTTGTGATTTCGAAATAATAATAATTGTTCAAGCAGATTAATTAATTATGAAAGTATAAAAAATAATTTAATTGGATTCAAGAAGACAGAAAAAAATAAAATTGAAGAGACAATTAATCCTGGATTTGACGCCTGTCAGTGAGTAATAAACTATGACGTGTTATAGCATTTGCAATGGAACAAGATATCCCAGACTACGATATGGACTCGGAGGACGAGAAATGGGTGGGAGTTCAAAGTAGAAAAATGGATCTCACTCCATTGCAGTTCGAGGAGATGATGGACAGACTGGAGAAGAGCTCTGGCCAAAATGTTGTCACCCTCAATGAGGCAAAGGCGTTATTGAAGGAGGATGATGATCTGATAATTGCTGTGTTCGATTATTGGCTGAACAAACGTCTCAAAACGGTAAATTCACCCTTCACAACCCTCAGATAACGACTAGTCCCATTATTTTTCACTCTGACGATGGATTTTTTTCATTCACTTCAGCAACATCCTCTACTACTGACGGTGAAAACTGATCATCGCTTGGGGTCAGCTGCCAATAATCCTTATCTAGCATTCAGGAGGATAACTGAGAAAATGCAAACGAGGAAGAATCGTAAAAATGATGAGACAAGCTATGAAAAAATGCTCAAACTACGAAGGGATCTCAGTAGAGCAGTTACTCTTCTTGAATTGGTCAAGAGAAGGGAAAAAACGAAACGTGAACATTTACATTTGACTATTGAAGTCTATGAGAAGAGGTAAATCAACATTTATCAATTAAACCGGTTATTTCTTCATTTTTTCCACAAATCCGTGACAAAATGAGGGAACGAAATCCAGGGATTTAATTTTTCAATCGTTTTCTGATGAATGTTTTGTTATTTAAGGGGAAGAATTTATCGTATGGATCCTCTTTGTTGAAAAAAATGTGGTAGAAGAGATCTGAGCATGGAATTTAGTTCATTTATTTATTCTGAAAGGGATAAATATGTGTTAATTTCAAATATTTCAACTTTATTTTTACTTTTGCTATTAATTTTGTTAATTTCTTGAGACTCATATGTCTGCATGATCCACAGGTACCAAGCGGAGGACTTCAATGGCCAAATACTGTCTGACGTGTCGGCGTTGAAGACGACGAGGCCAGCATTCGCACCCCTATTTACTAATCAATTTGGTGTACACCAGAATTGGGCGAACAAACTCTCGAACAAGGTAATTTTAACGTCAGGGCAGGAAGACTTATGAATCGAGTGGTCTGAGGATTTTTTTAATGTTTCTAAAAGTGCAAACACATGAATTGACCATTACCCATTCGATAATTGTCATTACCGATTACTTTGTCATTCATATTTCTCGATTACGACAATGAACACTATTTTTTTCCATTAATATCTTCCTAATATTACGGAAAATTGCAGTTCCTGTCCGTCAGTCGAAATAATTACGTTATTATTCTCAATAGAGAAACAATTTTTCTGCAATTGTTAGCTTGCCATTTTTTTTTTTCTTCAAACAAAACTCGCTCAATTCTCGGATAATACATTAATTTTCAGGAGGATGGATTACCTCGTAAGGAGAAGAGACAGTATAAGAAGAGAAAACACAAAGTCGATGGGAGAGCTGGTGGTCTCGATGAAAGTGGTGTACGAATTGGCTCAGGTACTGGTAGCAGTAGGAGTACGAGGACCAGTGTGATTGGTAGTGGGCTGGACCCGCTCGCTAGCTCGGACGAGGACAGCCCTTTTCCCCACACACAAATGTCAATGTCGTCGGATCGCGATGAGGATGACAACACGGAGGATGGGCTTTTTGCCTTTCGACGAAATCGATATTCCACTTACCTTCCAGTAAGATATGTTTCACGTATTTATCGCAGTTTTTATCACTGATGGGGTAAAATGGGCACTATTATTTGTCACAAGAGAGAGAGAGAGAGAGAGAGAGAGAGAGAGAAATTTTTGGGAAAGAAAGAATTGCCTTTTCACTGGACAACATTGTTTTTTTTTCATTAGACAACTTGAATTTTTTTATTTAATTTTTATATTTAATTTTTATGCTGAATAATATCTGGATTAATAATGTCTCAATTGTATTGTCAAGCTACATAACGTTTCTCTTTTAATTTACAGCCTGTATCGAATGGCTTCGGCAATTGGCCCTGGTGTGAGAAAACAGAGGGTGGTGCAGCTAATAAAAAATACAGATTTGCACTCACCAGCATTAGTAAACCTAGTCCAAGGTGTATAGGCCTTGCGAGGCGGAGGCTAGGTCGTGGGGGAAGGTAATTTAATGAAAATTCATACAATTCATTATTACTTGAGAGGTGAATTGGTAAAACGTAATGAAATACGTCTGGAGAATGAGGAATTGTTGAGAAAAATATTCATTTGTTCATTTATTTCTGCAACTGATTCAACGGATGATTGAGAAAAATGAGGAGAGAGAAGAACACAATAGTTGAGTGCTAGGAGAACTATTGGGGGACAATTTTTGTTGAAAATTGAATATTTCACGGCTGAATTGGGGATTGCGTGATGGCGAATGAACTTGAAAAATTAATATTCTTTTTGAATTATTCCAGAGTTATCCTAGATCGCTATTCCAGCAGTATGGATGATATATGGTCATCGTTAGATTTTACAATTCACGAGTCACAGCACGACATACCTGTGGATCCTCTAGTGACGGCAGCCGGTACAACAACCACTATCAAGAAGGAGCCGTACGTATTAATGACTCATTCAATCAACAAATATCTCACTTCAATGGTATATCGCAAATGATGAAATGGAATAATTAAGGATATCCAAATGCTTCCGGACATTTTACATTTATTTTTTCAATTTAGATATATAAATATATAATTTGCAAATTCTTGGGCCTAATTATATCTTCAGTTCACATTGTTTAATGAACTTGTCAATGAATTTGATAACTATTGGATGTAGAATACACACAATGCTTGCCATGATAGTAGGAAATTATATCATATTTTTTTTCGCTTTTTTTTCTCCATTTTTAGAATTTCTTAAAAAACATTTTAAAAATCTGAAAAAAAATTAGAAAGTTTACTTTTGGGGGAAGATCGACGAAATAATTTGAACATTGCAATTAAATAATTTATAAACAATCAATTTTTCACCACATAAATCATTTGTTCGGAATCGCAACAAATTTATTCAAAGTTCAAGCAATTTCAGTTATTGATAAACAAATGTTAAAAAAAATAATAATTCTGTGCAAAATATCATTTGAATAACCCGGAATATTCACGATTTTTTTCACACAATTTAATTTACAAATTTGATGATTAATAATTAATGGTCAATAATGATGAAAGACACTTGGATATCCTTAAATACGGAAAATCCATAATTTTTGAATACACACAATGCTTGCCATGATATTAGGAAATTATATCATTTTTTTTTCGCTATTTTTTCTCCATTTTTAGAATTTCTTAAAAAACATTTTAAAAATCTGAAAAAAAATTAGAAAGTTTACTTTTGGAGGAAGATCGACGAAATAATTTAAACATTGCAGTTAAATAATTTATAAACAATCAATTTTTCACCACATAAATCATTTGTTCGGAATCGCAACAAATTTATTCAAAGTTCAAGCAATTTCAATTATTTATAAACTAATGTTGAAAAAAATAATAATAATTAGATTGTGGTAATCTCGTAACCCAAAACTCCATCGAAGCCAAGATGACTTGCTAAACCCAATAAATGTACTTTCCAGATTGCACTTTCGACCAAAAACCCCAGAATGTGATTACCAGCCCCCAGACGCACCCCAGAACTCATCAGTGGTGACAAACAGCAGTACCGAAGAGTCGGACAATGATTTGGAGCCAGATCCACGCACAACCCATCAAGTCTATCAATTTCCCCAAGAGGCCACCTCCATATGCGTAGACTTTGAGCCAGAGAGACCGGGTGACGAGTCCCCCTTCACAACTGAATTCAATGTATCCGATTATTTTGCTGTCGACACACTATCGGAATTTGATCTTGGCCTGTCATCATCGATAAACGACGACCAGTATCAATTTGGCAGTTCCCGCTTCCACGTGACCCAATTGACAGACAATGTTATATCATGCCGTGGTAATCAGTGCAGTGTTAGTAGTGCAACTGTAAATACAAATGTCCCAATAGTGACTACAACGTGTACACCGTCATTATCGTTATTATCATCATCAGTATCATCAGCAATATCGTCATCCATCACTACCTCAATTGCCAATCCTTCCACATCGACAGTTATATCATCAGTCATGAATAGTACACATCAGCATCAATTTATCGACAATGGTAATTATCAGCAATATAAGAATCAGCAGAGACAATCATTATCACGAAGTGGTAATTCATCGATTTTGAGTAAATCAGTGGTTACTGGTGGGGCTAGACATAGTGGTAATGTTGATTTAACTGGAATAACGAACTTTGGAAATGGGCATCAGAATGGTCCGTCCAGTCATTTGCATGGAACTAGTGTTACACTGCAGAATAGTGGTGGTTATAGTGGGCATAGTCAGGGGGCGTTGTTGTTACCACAGAAACATCCAACTACTGGGCTGTTGCCTGGATTCATTGCTCCCAGCAAATTGGCCAGTCTTGCTAGGCAGCAGCAGCATCAGGTGCAGCAGCCTGGGACTATTCAAGGACAACAGTTGACGACGTCTAAGGACATTACGCTTAATAGTAATAATAGGTAAATATATGTATTTATAAACAGTCGCATGATGACAATAGTAGACTTCAGTCATAAATTTCATTTGGAAATTTGGAAATTTGGATATTAACATCATTTGGCCAGAGTGAAAAAAAACGAGAATTATTTTCACTATATTGCATTCAGATTCTTCTATTCTTGACGTTAAAAATGGGAGACGACTAAAACATAATACGAGCATAATTAAACGCAATATTAAAAAAGAATAACTTTTTTTTTCATCATTTCCCGTTAATTAAATCAGTAAAAATCATCGAATAGTTTTCCTGAAAAACAGAAGAAATTCTCATTATTAATATTTTCCAGTGAAGGAATGGATATGGAAGTAGATGGTGTTGAAGGATCATCATGTGATACAAATTCACAGCAGCAGCAACTAGTGCGAACTAATAAGACAAATTCACTGGCAATGGAAGTGACATGATGCCTGTTGTTAAAACCCCCGTCGAATAATTCAGTTACAACTGGGGGCTTCGCTTATCAATTTCACAAAAAATTCAAGCAAGAGTCAGGAAGAATAACTTTTCAATGGCTCTTCAACAATCTCTCATTCGTCATTTTTTTAATCTGTGAATAAAGAAACAATGTTGAATGATCATTGAGTTGGCAAAGTGCGGGCTACGCTTATTTTTTATTGATTATGTGAAATATCCGTTGAATGAAGAAAAATTTCACCCCTCGGGGCTTCGATAATTGGATGAAATTGCATTATTCTAGAGGAAGGAGGAAAATAAACAGTTTATTTCAGATTAAAATTTATGGTGAATAATATTGTCCTGTTCCCGACGATGTGTGATAGTCAAATGTAGCTAAAAACTTTGTGAGTCATTAATTCACTGAACTTCCTTGGAGATTCATCAAATTAACGTTAATATTGAGTGACATGCATTGCTCAATCTATTGGGAAAATATGATGTACGAGGATGAGGAAAAATTTTCATTATTAAAGATAAATAAAAGTTATGAATATACCTTCATGTACATCGATACCAGATAATTTACAAATTCGAGATTTAATTATGAAAATGAAAATAACAAATCGTAAGTGAATTGAATTTTGTTTTTCCAGCTCAAAAGTACTCGCTCTTGGAAGTATTAACTCATTTAGTCAACAAATTTCTCAGTTTTATGGTATATCACGAATGATAAAATAGAAATGAAAAAAATGAGATACTAAAAATCGTTAAATTCGAGGCGAACCGGATACTTCATTGTAAACAAAATGAGTAGAGAATTTCCATGATGACCATATAACACTGAGTGACTCTGCGGTGAGGAATGTGTAAAAATGAATGATAGGAGTGCCGGTGATGATAGGGATGGATGAATAGATATATTCATTTGAACGATTTCAACTAAACATATAAATGAGAGAAAAACTACAAATATAAATGATAATAAGAGAAATTTTGTAAATACAAAAATAATTACGCTTACTGTATCTTTTAATTTAAGGCGATTAATTAAATCAATGTAATTAAATGTTGTTGTGGTAGGTGCGCAGTGATGTGTAAAAAATATGACTAATTGAAGGATAGAAAGAGAATAACACGGAAGAAATTAATTGAAACAAAATCACAGGGAGAATAATAAATAAATTTGATCCTGACATTGAGAGAGAATGTTTTTTCTGGTGTATTGATTGTCCTCATGTTGTCGTTCATGACTTGCGAAATTATTTGTTATTTACTGTTTTGGGGAGGTGATGGAAGGAGGGAAAGGAGAATGAGGTGGATTTTAGTGGTTTGATTTTGGGAAAAAACTTTGAGATTTTTTTTTTTAAATCGGAAGTTTTACTGTGGTGCTTGATGGGCGTATCGCAACAATTAAATAATAATATGGGGAAATAGTGACATTAGTATGAAAACATGGTCCATAATCGTTAAACTAATATTTATAAAACTGGAAGACTAGAAAGATAAATTTTCGAACTAGGTGCTGGTGAATTCAGCAGCCTCGCAAGTTTTGTTTTACAATTTTCCTTTTACCATTCTTGATTATTATATGACACATTAATTACGTAATTGACGTAATTGCAACCTAATGAGGACTGCCTGAGAATGGCTCGAATGGAGAAATGGGGTGAATGAATATTCGGGAAAATAATTTTTTCTCCCGTGTGAACAGACCCTTAACCCAATGTCGCTGGAGTCACTCCATGAAAACCCACTTAGAGCTCACCATTCTCGTTGCTTCGCCCCGATTGGCGGATTCCCCTCCGCCCTCGCGCCGTTTGGCCGCTGCTCCATGACTTGGACCAATCGGAAATTGCCAAATACCCAGAATAACCATAAAAAACTTCCTGTCCCTCTCGAGCCTCCGCGGAGTTGCCAGATTGGGCGATTTGCCGCCAAAATGGACGATTTTTGAAGTTCTTTTGGCGTCTAAATATGGACTTTGGCGGTTTGACGATAATTTGGGGTGTTCGTAAGATTTAGAGTTCGAGGGAAAAAATATATATTGTATATTATATATTATATATAATATTATATTATATATATTATAATATAATATTATATATAATATATAATATTATAATAAGGCAATTGTTTTGATAATATATGATATATAATATACAATATATATCTTTTCCATCGAGCTCTAAATCTTATTATATATAATATTATATTATAATATATAATATATAATTAATAATATATAATATATTATATCGTATATTGTATATTATATATCGTATATCATATATTACATATTATATATTTTCCTCGAAATATTTTTTTGAGGAAAAAAAAATATAAAAAAAATATAATTTTAAAAAATATAATGATGTGCGATTTTTTGGCGACACTAGCAACGACTTTGGGCGATAGGAGGGGGATCACTGGCGGACAAGACCTCTGAAATGAACATCTGGCAACCCTGCCCGCACGGCCAGTCCACTAAATATTCCATCAGTGATGTTGTTGATGTCCATCGCTCGTGAACACTCCAGTACACCCTCATTACTGATAATAACACTCGTGAAACCGATAATGCACGAGTGACGGTGTCTGGTGATCGAACGATGCGGATGGTCAGCTAGTCACCGATAAACAAATAGACATCTGTGTGCATCTCCGCGCGAACTGCTCCAATTGTTTTCCATGTACAAAGTGATCAGCTCAAGCTGACGTTAATTGACGTAATACAAGGGGCAGTGATCAGTCTCAACGATAAAAATTATTTGGAAATTCAAGGGGACTGGGGAATAGTGACTTGCGCCATTCGTAATGACTTGATTGTTCTTTATTCATCGAGTTGGCAATTGTTTTTGTGGACTCGGGGTATTGATTGGCCTGTTGTCTCGTTAATTTAATTAAAATTCTTGGGAATTGGGGGAGCAGAGTTGTTCGGAATTACGGACGTTAGAGAATTGTAGATCGTTGAGAGGTGTCGAGTGAGCTGATGTAATGGGGGATCTCAGCGACAGTGGTGAAACGATAAGTCTAGTTGTTAAGGCACCGGATCAACAGATTCGTGATCAAGTTGTCAAGTGTCAGCTGCATTGGACTGTTGCAAGGTTAAAGGAACATCTTGAAACGGTTTATCCCACGAAACCAGTGAGTTGTCGTTTTAGTTGGGGATTTTAGTGTTATGGGTTTGGGGGTAATTGATTGGAAGTGTTTTTTGGTGGGCAGAACTGAGATTTTTTAAATTGATTTTATTGGGGGGATAATTTTGTAAATAACTGCGAAACGTAGGGGAGGTTGGGGTAAATGAACACTTTTGACTTTTTTTAAAATGTTAATGAGGGCTGAAATGTTGATGAAATTTCATTTTTTTTTCAATACGAACAACAATTCTTTCCCTTTGTGACGAGCTGTAACTGAGCTCAATTGATCAATTTGTTTCTGAGTTATGAATAATCTTGAAGATGTCTATAGTGTCCATTTTACCCCACCCTCCCCTATCCTTTTTTATCAATTCGTTATTTTATTTTTATTTACTATTTAGGAATGTAAGAAGTAATTTTAGATATTTAGTTTTGTTTCAATTCTATTTTAATTCTTTTTTTTCGTTAGGTTCTAGTGTTGCAAGTTAATTCAGCTGTGAAGGACTGATTGATTTATTTTTAATTGATTTTATTGTTGGCAGAAGTTCATAAATATCTGCAAAAAGTAATGTGTGATTTTAAACAAATGAAAGAATTAATTTTCGTTGAAAATAGATCAGTCTTTTGGAAATAAAATTTTTATTCTCTTTCGTATACTCTCGAGTTTTTACGATTTTCCCCTCCACTTTTTATCAATTCATTATTTTCTCTCTGATAATCTCCATTCCCCAGAAATTAGAGTTAATTATCAACTATTTAAAAATATAGAAAATGATTTTATTAATTTATTATCTTATTCTCAATTCTTCCAAGAACAGTTTTTTCTTTTTTCTTTATTGATTTTTTCTTTAAATCAATTTTCTGTCGAAGATAATTTAGTTTTTTGGGCTTGCTTGTGAAGATTCGTTTATTCGTTATTGTAGAAACGATGTGAGCAGAAGGTGATATTCTCTGGTCAGCTGCTGGGGGATTCCATGGTCCTGCAGGATGTCCTTCCACAGCATTACAATCAGAATATCCCACCTGACAACACGTACATCATTCATTTGGTGTGCACGTTGAAAGCAACCACCTGCCAGCCACTGCCGAGCTGTCAGGTAGCACCCAGTACAGTCCGTACACCTGATATTTTGACGACGTCGTCGTCAACGGTACAGCAGTACTATAGTCAACTCAATAGTCAACAAATGGCGTGGATGCAGCAAGCATATGCCCATTATTTAACACAGTACATGCATCTGTGAGTTCAACATTTCATCCTGATTAGTGTTAACACTTCGACGTGATCCAGGGGAAATCCGTGGCTCGAGGGAATAATTTGAAAAAATTATTTGGAAATTTTCACATTAGTTTGCACATTTATTTCAAGCAAGTGAACAATTTTTCACTTTTCTATAATATTTTTTAGAATAGGGAAAATTAAGAATGAGGAGGAAAATAAGTGGATAATGCCATTTTTTAATAAATGAGTATAGTGGTTGTAGCTAATAAATTAGCAATTTCCTTGCGAATGGACTCTTTTTTTTTATTCTTTCTATTTTTTCATGTCACAGAATTATCATCAATTGACATGTCATAAAATTTTTTGAGCATTTTTTTAATTATTATGATTTAGTCCTGACCAATGTTAATGTTTCGGCGTGATCCAGTCGAAAATACGTGGCTGGAGGGAATAATTTGAAAAACTTATTTGGAAAAATTGCACTTGAAAATTTAAACTTTGGAAATATTAGTCCTTAAATTTTCACATTAGTTTGCACATTTATTCGAAGCAAGTGAACAATTTTTCACTTTTCTATAATATTTTTTAGAACAGGGAAAATTAAGAATGAGGAGGAAAATAAGTGGATAATGCCATTTTTTACAAAATGAATATAGTGATTGTTGCTAATAAATTAGCAATTTCCTTGCGAATGGACTCTTTTTTTTTATTCTTTCTATTTTTTCATGTCACAGAATTATCATCAATTGACATCTCATAAAATTTTTTGAGCATTTTTTTAATTATTATGATTTAGTCCTGACCAATGTTAATGTTTCGGCGTGATCCAGTCGAAAATACGTGGCTGGAGGGAATAATTTGAAAAACTTATTTGGAAAAATTGCACTTGAAAATTTAAACTTTGGAAATATTAGTCCTTAAATTTTCACATTAGTTTGCACATTTATTCGAAGCAAGTGAACAATTTTTCACTTTTCTATAATATTTTTTAGAATAGGGAAAATTAAGAATGAGGAGGAAAATAAGTGGATAATGCCATTTTTTA